ACAGACAACAACGGTTTGACCTAAAAATATCAAAATTGAAAATACTGTGGAAACAAAGACACCTACATCTTGGATGCCCTTGAGGTAAGCTAAAACATATCAAAAATTAATTTCAAATCCCTTTAAACTAAAAACAGAATTAAACACTTTACATTTATTAATACTGAAATTAATATTATTAAGCAATTTATTGAACATTTACCGAACATATTTAGAGCTTTTTTATGCAATTTTATTTGCTGCAAAATGATGCAAATTTGCACTTTTTTTGACAACTTTGAATTTAATTATTGATAGATTTTTTGTTTACATCAAAAATTAAATACAAAGTAGTCCAAAAAGGGCAATAAACTTTTTGAGTAGGATGACTGAATGAAATTGAATTATCGTGATGAGTTAAGTATACAAAAACATGTTTTAAGTTATAAATCAACTATCTCAGAGTCCTTTATCAAATTGCTGTTTTATACAAGTAATTAGCCTTTCTGAAGATTTCAGGAAAAAAAAAATGTAATTTGTAATTTGATTTATAATTATTGTGATATGAAACTGTAATATGCTCCAGATTTTCAAGTGTACATATTGTACACAAGAACACTGCAAAATCTCTGTATTGAATATTACAGCCTCAAGTGACTTGTTGCGTTAATCTAGTAAATCTGACAGGAATGAAAGTCTGTATTTGTTGCATTCATCAAACTATACGGTTCTCGCAGCCCCCAGCGCTCCCAGCTTCATCAGTTTCTCTGAGGTGACCAGCAGCACTCTGAACGTGTCCTGGGGTTTCCCACTGTCCCCTAACGGTGTGGTGGAAGGCTACAGAGTGGTGTATGAGCCCACCGCCCCTATTCAAGGTCAGTCTCTACTCTGTATTAGAGCTGCACAATTAATGGTTGACAGATTGCAATCTCTCTTTAAACACCCACGCTATCTTATTCCTAAATGACAATGATTCAGCAATGTCTATTAAGCCTGCCTTTGACAAGTACAGTCACAGCTCTGCTGCTGACCTAGAGAGAGCAGTTATCATGTATGAACCAGCTTCACAAACAGTCTTTTCAACCACGCAGTATCATTATTTCTGTTACATAATTCAAATTATCGCTGAAGTACTGCGATAAAAGTATCAAAATAATTCAGTAAATCACCTATTGCAAATAAGATTGTATCAATTACATCTTTACAGCAGTAGGTGGCGACAAATGACTGATAAAAAAATGTATTTTTAAATGTAAATGTATAACATATTTTCACTGTATCAGAGTCTGTTTTCATAATGTTTCTAATGGCTATTAGTGTTTTAATGTGTGATGGTGATGTGATGATAATTTGTTCACATAAACTCATTTTCTTTTATTGTTTCCATGGCTTCCAATGGATGCCATAGTTCAGAGTACAGAACTAGAGTAATTCATTTTGAGATTAACTTGCTGTTCTCAGGTAGGAAGATACTGTAGCTTTGTGCAATGTTTGTTTGTATAAATGATTATTGTGTGTGTAATCATGCAAACTGTGTGTGTGTCCGCATTAGGTGTGACTAAAGTGGTAACGGTGGATATCCGTGGCAGCTGGCAGCGCTGGCTGAAGGTGCGTGACCTGACCAAGGGCATGACCTATTGCTTCCACGTGCAGGCCAAAACTATCGCCTACGGGCCTGAGGCAGAGGCCAACATCACAGCGGGTCCTGTCAAAGGTGAGCTACACATCCACAACCAAACAAACACACCAACACACAGATCAGCAAAACTCCCAGGGTCGCTGAGCACAGCTTACATTCCCCACTCCTCAGCGAGAGGTGTCAGAAATCTAGGCTGTGAAAAAACACCTGCGTGGATCAATATCTCACAGTGGTGTAGGCGTTTGCTTTAGCTTTATTCCTGTATTCATTCTCAAGGGTCGGGTTGCTCGCCTGTTCCTCTCAGTTCACTGCCCGCTCTCCTCCCTGTCTAGGATCTCCTGGATCACCTGTAGAGATGTCAATCACAAAGACAGGATCTATGCTCAGCATCCAATGGACACCAGGGGAAACAGGAGCAGGACATGTGACCGGCTATGTGATTGAAGCGCGGCCCTCTGGTACGGCACTCAAAACTTGACTTATCGTTACTTTTTTCTTTTATTTTTTTGAGTGAGAAAAGTGTTGACCACATATCAGTACTTCTAAGGTAATGTACCAGGTTTCTGTTACTTGGTTACAGTTACTTGGCAACAGTTACATTACTTTATAACGTGGTGGGAAAAAAATCGTATCATTCAATTTGAATACATTGAAAATTCGCTACACATATGTCCGTTTTAAATATACTTACATTTAAAGAAGCAATCAAGCTTTTAATGAAAACCAAAGTGCTGCCAACGTTCTTAGTGCTTTTTCAACTACCGTGACTTTTATTAGTGATGAATCAAAAAAATTAGATGTTGAATCCTCTGAAATTAATTTAGTGTTCCTAATTAAAATTGAAATGAATCACTGTTGTTATTGTTTACTAAAACTGTTAAAAGCGTAAACGGGAATTAGAAACTTAAATAAGTTGAAGTGCTAAAACTAAAACTGAACTGAAATTTAAAAACAAATTAATTGGATAAAAATAATTAAAGCTAAATAGAAAATTTTTTTTAATGAATAGTAATGTCAAAGCACAACAAAATTACTAAAACTTCAAAGTTAAAATGAAAACTAAAAAGCTAATTCGAAATATTAATATTAAATTATAATATTTATAATAAATTATTTTGTGTTTTTTAATCCTATTGCTTTTACGTTATATGTTAGTATTTGTATACTATACTGTATATAGTAATTACTTTCATAGAGCATCTTTAGATTTTAAATTTGACCAGGAATCATGTGAACCAATGCATCTTTGTTACAGTCAAGGTTCAACTTTTTGCCACACCTGTAAGTCTGATAATTTACCAACCATTTCTTACCAGAAATCTAAATAATAAGAGTCATTTATTGCATAATTTCATAATTTGCAGTATCATTTGCAAGAAGACTTGCACATCGTAATTTTGTTCCATTTTTTGCATTAGAGAAAAAAAACCTGAAGCTCTGAAATTTTGTTTTCACTGAGATAAAATGAATATATATATATATATATATATATATATTTAAATAGTTTTTCATATTTCCAGTTCAAACCATGTAATGTTGCAGGTCCTTTTAAAGTTAGCAGCCAAAACTAATTTCTACTCACATTTGGCGCTTGGCGAGTGTTCGTTTAGGAGCTTGATGGCTGGCCTGAAATCATTTACTGAACATTTATTTGTCATTGCTGCTGGGATACATTAATATAACTGCCTTTTCCATATCAGTATGGTTATTCACATTGAACAACATTGCTTGTCGGGCAATGAACCAGCTGTTAGCTGCTCTTGATGTCAGCATCTGCTAAGTATAATGGGACACTGTAATGAACTTAGTGCTTCCAAGTTCACGATGACATTTTCACTGGAAGTGACCTTGCGCTCCGCAGATGAGGGCGTGTGGGATACGTTTGTGCGGCACCTGCCTCCCACCAGCACCTCTCACTCTGTGAGTCTGGACCGCCTGCGGCAGGGCATTAGCTACCAGTTCAGAGTGCTGGCCATCAACGAGTTCGGCTACGGTGAGCCGAGTGCGCCCTCTGCTGCCATGTCAGGTAATAACGTCAGGCCTCCTGTACTGTGATGAGTCATAAAAGAGATTTTGACAGGGTGTTGCATCAGTTACTGTTGATATTATTTAGGTTTAACGTGACTTTTACACCCACATGAACTCGACTCACCATGCACTCCCAGAAAAGCTGCTTTTTCTTGGCTTAATGTAATTATCAGACATGTTTCATTTCAACCTCCAACTAAACATTAGTTGGAGAAATAAAGAAAAACACAAAAATTAGATAAATGTAGAAATATAGTGAGAGTATCAGGGTTTAAAATTAATATGAGAAGCATAGATCTGATGAGAAATTATTGAGTTATTTGATTGCACACTTTACCTTGACACAGTTTAAAACGTCTTGATATGACAGGAGAACAATTTGTAAAGCAGGAGACAAAAATAAAAATAAATTCTAATAGGGGTGCTATTATGCTTTTCCACTTTTTTAATTTTAGTTTGTGTGTTGCTGTTTCAGCATGAAAAAAGTCCACTCCAAAGGGGGATATTTTATTTAACAGAATCTCTAGCACTTTTCAAGAACTACAACGAATGACTCGTATGGACTACAGTGCGATTTTTCCGGATCTTATGAAGTCACAATGTTCCTCATTTAAAAAAAAAAAAAAAACTGCGCCCAAGGAATCGGCAGAAAAAAGGCCAGGTTGAGCTGTCAAAGAGATGCTGTTTTTTCCACCCCTTTTCCAAAGCATTTTTTTACCTTTCTATGGCTATAATGGTTAAAATTATAACCCCGACGTGTATCTCTGCGCTGCACATTTTACGGAGAACAGCCTGTTTTCTTTTGCTTTTGTAAGACGGTTCACTGCTCCTTATGCCGAGTTCAGACTGCACGATTTTAGCCACGATTTTGGCCGACAAATGCCCAAAATCACAGGCAAATCGGAAGGAGGGGCTTTGTCGAAATCGGCATGCCAGACTTTGCATAGAGGTGCTGTAATGATGTTAAATATTTGAAAACATATTCTAGTGCACCCCTAAAACAAAATTAAGACTTTGTAAAAGGGCATAATACAACCCCTTTAAAACAAGTATATATATATATATATATATATATAATGGGCTCAAATGAATAAACTTCATTCAAAAGCAAAACAAGATTATTTTAAGCAAAACGTGTCATTTTTCTTCAAGTAAATGTATCTTGATTTAAGAATGTTTATATAATTGTACTGGAGTTCAATATTTGTGAATTTGTGATTTACGGGCTTTTCTTTTGACTCTTTTGCTATTATAAATGTTTTCTCATCGAGGTTGTTTTGTTTTCATGTGTTTTCCTTTGGTTGAGCAACCACATCCTCAATTTGTAACACGTGAACTCTGAACTTCCAGCCTGCTCCCTTATCACAGATGATACAACCAATTACTGACATAAGGAAAGTATCAATGAAACTGAGGTCGTATAGAGGCCAATGCCTTAAAAGGAATCTGAAGCGAGATTTATGTGTTGAACAAATATAGTCATGACCTTTGTATATAAATATTATACCTGAGACTGTAGAAAGGCTTCAAAATGCTTACTTAGTCAAAATGCTCACTTACTTACTTACCACTTTTTACTTATTAAAGTGGTTTTAATTTGTGCTTTTATTTTAGCTTTAACCTTAACATGATTTCCGTCAGTAAGAAAAGCATTTTAAAACAGGTGGTAATGATATCAACTAAAGAACACAAAGAAATATGAAAATAAATATGAAGCTGTCTTAGAAGAGAGCTTTCTTCTCTGTCTTTCTCTTTGGCCATTGGCTTGTGCTTTCAAAAAAAACGTTCATGTTGCCTCAGCCCTTAATTAATGCAGTGCTGTGCAAGTCCTAGAGGCCTTTTTGTAAATGAAAAGCAAAGTATGTTATCAACTTCTCGCGTGTCATGGGATTGAAATATTCATACCACAGGCATGCTCCAGTCCAATCTGTCTGTGAGCTGATGTCACTGCAGCTCAGTATTGCTGTCAGAGTAGTCCATCAGAGGCTGTCTCATATGATTGGAGAGTCCTGGCACATTTGGGCCATGCTCTCCTTTGCTCTAGTGCACTAGAGATAAGACGCAGGCCAAAACACATGTCAATGCTGCTCTAAGTATGGGAGATATGATCCCTGCTGCTTCTCTCAAGTAATAAAATACCTTGGAAACTTGACGAGTATTGCTATTAAACTCAATAATGTCAATAAGCAACACTAAAAATGTGAAAGCATTAACACTGAAGTTGTCCGCACTGCACAGTGAACCTCTTATTTATATCGCGTTTATACTTTGTTGTTTATGAGGGGATTTGCGACAGGATAAAGCTCGTGCTGATTCTGAACATATTACATATGATTTTTATCTTTGTTTATTTCCGGGAGTTCTGTTTGGAATTTTCACGTACGTTAATTCTGACCAATCGAAGTGAAGTTATGGAAATATGTTCAAGATATCTGGCCAATGAGTAATGTGGATGTTGTCAAGTGATATTTGTATATATTTATATATGAAGAGTTCAGATGCAAAAGCCTTTAAGTGCCATTTGAAATTTTCTTCTTTAATGATGATTTATGTCAAGCTTGTATATTTAAGTTCAGTGATTTCACTTAAATGGCAATGATAATTACCTATTAATTGTTATTTAAGTGAAATTACTGAACTTAAATATACAAGTTTGATAAAAATCATCATTAAAGAAGAAAATTTCAAATGGCATTTAAAGGCTTTTGCATCTGAACTCTTCATATTTATATAGGTATATTTATATAGGTATATTTTGGTTCATTTCATCAACTCATCAACTGATTCAGACCAGAGCAATCAGTGTGGTGTGAAAATGAACCAAAACCTCTGAAAAACGCTACAAAGTATCATTTTTCGCCCTTGGTCTGGACCAAATGAACCGAACTGCAGATGTGAAAGCACCCTAAGTTTGAAAATACATAATTGAAATGAAGTGATCACACTTTAGCCTAGTAGGCAATATAACAGGTCAAAGACATGGCATCGACTTGCATTGAATGAGCGAGAGACCTGGAATACACTATATGACAGTTTAAAACAATAAACAACTAATGATCACACATTACCAGACTTTCAAGTTGTTCAGAACGTGGCAAGCTCACACAGAAACGTGTTGTTTATTTCTTGGAGACACATGACACATGAAAACTGCATGCATTCTTAAAACTGGACAGAATTATAGTCTAAAAAGCTAAATAAAATCTGTGCCATCATACACTACGGACTATGCGAAGTTCTATGAAATCTGTCAACTCTGACTTAGTGAAACCTGCAGTCTGACCTTTGGGATACTAGCTTCAGTCAACTCGTCTATAAAAAAAGTCTAGGCAAAAGTCACGTAGTTTAAAGACAGAAAGAATCCAGCCAGAACAACCACCCTCAGTCAATGAGTCAGCAAGGTTTGCTTGCCAACAATATAAACAGTCTACTTTTCTATCTTTCATGTCTTTATATTTCTTTTTTCTTTGTCCTAAACAGCCCAAGTGGACACCCCGTTTTATGAGGAGTGGTGGTTTCTCATTGTGTTGGCATTGTGCGGTCTGATTCTGCTGTTGCTGTTGGTTTTTGGTCTGGTCTTGCACGGACAGAACAGGAAGTACAAGAGCTGTGGAACAGGTGACCTAAAACAAACCTCTTCAGCCTTCTCACGACACATCCATCCATCCTCCCTCACATAATCATTATGCCCGGTAAATCCACATGCAAATTCATCCAGATAAACACGTCCGCCCACTCAGACTCTCACACCGTCCACCAAACAGTGATTCAAATTTGACCCAGGTGCTGTTTTTGCTGTGATGATGATATGCTGACTGCTGTAGGTAAAGCTGTGTCCACGGTGGAGGAGACGGTCACACTGGACAATGGAGGCTTCACGGCTCTAGAGCTCAACAGCAGGCCCATTCATGTCAAGAGTGTCTTCCTGAGGAAAAATGGCACCAGGTACTGTAAAGAGGGTACACAGCTTCCGTTTGTGTCGTCTGATAAATCTGAGGGAGCAAAATCACTAGACTAGAGAGTTGTGTATTTCAGCATTAAAACCTGTTTAACCAGTTGCTGAATTAGGTCACTGTCATTGTTTCCCCCAGAACGAACATGCCTACATTCTAGTTAGGCTAGTTTGCAGATTTCATCAAATTTCCCACTGTATTTTATCAAATGGTGGTGAACAGTTATAAATACAACTACAAGCTTGTAACGGTCTTTAACTTTGAAAGTCATGGTTAACTTTGGACCAAACCCTTTTTTAATATGTGTGGGTGGGGTGAGGAGTCTTCGCACAAATATAATGGTCCTTTTTACGCAACAGGGTTTAAGGGACTTATGAAACGGCGAGATATAGGGCCCTATTTTAACGATCTGAAATGCAAGCATCAAGCGCAAAGCACAAGTAACTTTGTGGGCGGGTCTTGGGCGCTGTTGCTATTTTACCGGCGGGATAAATTACTCTTGCGCCCGACGCAAATTTAAAAGGGGTTGGTCTGGAGTAGCTTCATTATTCATTGGTGGGCGTAACGGAAACAAACCAATAAGAACATCATATCACATTCCCTTTAAGAGCATGATGAACGAGGTGCGCTTGTTCCATGGCACAATTCTATTTTAACGGCGCATTTACTAGCTGTGCTTCAGAATCGGTTCACAGCAGAGGAGGTCGATGTTCTCATCAGGGCCGTAAAAGAAAGAAAAGTGACATTGGGGATGGGACAAACCCACCCAAATTAGCTTCGGTTAAACATGCTTATAATAATTTGGGTAAATATGTAAGCTTTATGCCTATTTTTCCCATCGTCATGGACACAACAATGATTTCCCTCGTGTTTTAATAGTTTTCCCTATAATAATGTATCATTTGGAAAAAGTAAAATGCATCTGTGTTGATGAGAGAATGATCTACAGTGTATGTGCGTTGTTCACTCTGTATAATGGCCAAGCATGCGCGCTTAAAATAGCATCTGAATGTACGCGCAACGCGCCACTGACTTTAGACCAGGTTTTTTCTGGTCATCGGAACTGCAAAAAAGCACCAGGGATTGTTTGCACGGAAACACGACTCCTTTTTGCGCCAACCTGCCCAGGGAGCGCAAGTTCATTCCCTAGTTTACCGGCGTGCGTCTGTGGAGGGAAATACCCACTTTGCGCGGGTGCAAAATAGGAATGATAAATGCGTCAGTGTATAAAGTCATTTGCGCCGGGTGCAAGATAGGGCCCCTAATGGTAAAAAAATAATATTTCCCAAAAAAACTATTTCCCAAGAAATGCAGTTCTTCAGCAATGTTTAAAAATCGAAGTTTACTCACCCTAATAGCGCTCCAAACCTGTATGACTTTCTTTCTGCTGTGGAACATAAAATAATATATTTCGAGTAATGTTTGAGTGTTTGTATGGGTTTTTTGTTTTGTTTCTGCTACATACAATGGAGGTCAATTATCACCAAAACCATTAGCAACATGCAACATTCTCCAAAATATTCTCCAGAATTAAGTAAGTCATACAGCTTTGGAACAACACAAGGGTACGTAAATAATAAGAGAGGTTTTATTTTTGTGTGAAATAATATGGAATGTCGTAAAAGTGGAAAATCGCGCGAAGGTTCGATATTTTGCAGATTTCACACGGATTCAACACATTGACCCACAGAAAACAACATTGTTTCATCTACACCGGGTGCAACTGTTACAAATCCATTTGTGGTTCTGTCAGAAGTAGGAGCCCGATCTCATGAAAGTTCGTATCTATAGCATGAATGTCATTTCTCGTGCCATTTATACGCCAAAACTAATTTTTGCGTGTATATGGTACGCGTTTTTCGCGTGCATATGATACGCACTTTTTGGCGTATAATAAGTACGAACTCCCCACCCCCCTTCCCCCTAAACTTACCCAGGGGGTTTTCAGTGCATAGCATATGCACGCAAAAAACAATTTTGGCATTTAAATGCCACGAGAAATGACAATCGTGGTATAGATACACACTATCATGAGACTGTGTTGAAAGTAGCGCAGGTGTGTGGAGTACATCAGAAATAGAACGGGATTATGCAGACAGAATCAGAATCAGTATCAGTATTATAATGGTTCCTTTTGTCGAATTCCACCTCTCGATTCCTGTGTAAACTCGGTGTTAGTTGCATCTAGGGTTGACACTTAGGGTTAGAGGGAGGTTGGCAAACAAATTTTGGTAACAATTTACAATACGGGTGCACTAATAAGCATTAATTCATGCTTAATTAATGCACAGATAATACTGAATTAATGTGTAACTAATGATTATCTAAGAAATTCATTAATGATTACCACATTAGGAACTAATTAAGAGTCTGTAAGGTTAATGTATTAGTTCATACATTAATTGTTTTTAATTAAATATGTAATTGTGGATTAATTCCATAATAACTCATTTTTTTAACTACTACTGTTAATTATTATGTTAATTACCAGAATGAGCCAAAACCTTGTATTTCAATTTCCAGATAATATGACAGGTATGCTAATATGCATTAATACATGATTAATTACTTCATTGTTAGAGCAAATTCATGTGCAAATTACTACAATTACTAAATGACTGGTTAATAATGATGTGCCCCAACAAGTAAAGTCATAACATAATGATGCCTTTGCAAATCATTAGCTAATGATTAATTAAAGCAGACAACTGGAAGTTGAAGTGCATAGCTTTGACCTATTGTGGTAATTAACACATTAATTTACACTATTAGTTAATAAAATAAGTTATAAAGGAATTAATACACAATGACACATTGAATTAATAGCAATTCATGTATTACTTAATCTATTAATCATATAGACTCTTTATTAGTTCCTGATGCAGTAATCATCAATTAATGGTTTAGTTCTTCATTAGTTATACATTAACTCATGATTATCTGTGCATTAGTTAAGCATGAATTAATGCATATTAGTGCACCTGTATTGTAAAGTGTTACCCAAATTTTTAACCACTTTCTTTTCTCTTCAAGCAGGTCCCCTCCCCGACCCAATCCAGCTGGACTGCGCTATTCCGATGAAGACATCTGCAGCAACTACAACGGTGTGGTTTCCACAGAGAGCACCGCACTGACAGAGGGGCCTGCAGAGATGTCCGAGTCTGAGGTGGAGTGATGCTTATTCACCATAATGGAGTTTATCTTGACTGGATGAGCGTGCATAATCTTCTGTCGTATTTTGTTCAATCAGGCCACGGACAGCGAGTGCGAAGAGGAGCCCATCAAACACTCGTTTGTGAATCACTACATGAGTGACCCGTCGTACTTCAACTCGTGGAAGCGGCAGCAGAAGGGGCTCAAGCAGACACTGGCATGTTCCTACGAGGAGTGTGCCAGCGGGGACACCGAGTCCTACTATCAGACAGTGGTCACACAGCACAGCGTGGGCGGGGTCTACACCCCTGCTGGCCAGCCCGCGCCAGGCTCACGAACTCCCGTCACAGGCTTCTCCTCGTTCGTGTGACGCACAGAAGGACTCGGTTCGTGGCTCGGGACAACGTAGCTGCAGAGGAAATTCTCTGATTTCGCACAGTACTATCACCACAAGAGACACATCACATGTGAAAGGCTCAACGAGTTGCTGGATTCTGAATGTTATCTCGATTAGTGATCGTGATTATTATTAAGGGGAGAAGAGGTTTAAAAAAAAAAAAAAGCGATTTTTATACGCCAATACCGAAGAGTTACTGTTACTGTGTGTGTCCCTCCTGTTTGCAGCCTTGGATTGTGAAGAGATGCATAAATGTCTGTGGGTTTTATTAAGCAGGACGCAACAGAAAAAGCCTGTAGATGTGACGAGACATTCCCGCTCTAGTGAACGGCACATATTCACACGTAACATTACCACATTGAAAAGAACATACGGAAAAAGATAAGTGAAAAACACGCTGTAATTACTGTATACTCTTGTCTGAATAATCTCATCTCACCGTCAGGGTCGCTATATATACATGTTGCACTCGAGACCGTAAAGGTCATGAAATGTAAATCTTCTCTAATGGATTTGATTCGCGTTCACGCTGCCTGGATAATGAAGCACGGATGATTCCAGTATAATCTCTATAGAGTCACCAGCAAGAAACCTACGGAGGCTGTTCGAAGAAGCCAGACAGCTCTGGTTCCCTGCCTCCGTGTGATCAGACGGTGAGACGGTGCCAGATGTGTTGTGATTTGTGCCATTGCTCATTCTCACACATATCAAACATCAAGTTTGTAGTTTTTTTTGTTTTTGTTTTTTTGCTTTTCTTGTTTTGTTCCTGTCTGTTTGGCCTCGCTTAGGAACTGCAAACACTCACTTGAAATTATTTAATGAATGAATGTAGGAATTGTATGTGAGGAGATCAGTTGCTTTACACATAATGTTCTGCACTTTTGAGCCATAAATACTTCAGATTCCTTCTTTTCTTCAGTATGATCGATTTTTTGTTTTCTTTTTTTACAGGCTTGTAAAAAGTGTAATTTTACAGTGCGATTTTAGAATTAATTTGTATGGGTTTTTGTTGTTCGCTGTAGTGTTCTTCAGAAGTGACGTACAGTAGTTCTGTTGTATTTTCATAAGTACGAATTTTTGCAGTTCTTGAAAATGCCAACTCAACAAATACAGTAATCAGAGTGTACTGTTATGGAAATGTTTGTTTCAATCCCACCCAGTGTTTTAGCACAAGTGTGTGTCATGGACTTTCATGAAGTAAAGATTTTTTATGATAAATGAAATGCTTGTTGTTTACTTTAATGTCTGCTACTACAGAGATGTCTTCTTGATCTTACTTCAACTTGTTTCCAACACTAAATTATAACAACTGTTAAAGTGGGTATAAAAGGAATGTTGCGATTCTTTTCTTTCCTTTTGTGACACACACTCACAAGGATTATTAGGAACACCATACTAATACTGTGTTTGACCCCCTTTCACCTTCAGAACTGCCTTAATTCTACATGGCATTGATTCAACAAGGTGCTGAAAGCATTCTTCAGAAATGTTGGCCCATATTGATTGGATAGCATCTTGCAGTTGATGGAGATTTGTGGGATACACATCCAGGGCACGAGGCTCCCATTCCACCACATCCCAAAGATGCTCTATTGGTTTGAGATCTGGTGACTGTGGGGGCCATTTTAGTACAGTGAACTCATTGACATGTTCAAGAAACCAATTTGAAATGATTCGAGCTTTGTGACATGGTGCATTATCCTGCTGGAAGTAGCCATCAGAGGATGGGTACATGGTGGCCATAAAGGGATGGACATGGTCAGAAACAATGCTCAGGTAGGCCGTGGCATTTAAACGATGCCCAATTGGCACTAAGGGGCCTAAAGTGTGCCAAGAAAACGTCCCCCACACCACCACCACCAGCCTGCACAATGGTAACAAGGCATGATGGATCCATGCTCTCATTCTGTTTACGCCAAATTCTGACTCTACCATCTGAACGGCTCAACAGAAATCGAGACTCATCAGACCAGGCAACATTTTTCCAGTCTTCAACTGTCCAATTTTGGTGAGCTCTTGCAAATTTTAGCCTCTTTTTCCTTTTTGTAGTGGAGATGAGTGGTACCTGGTGGGGTCTTCAAGGTTGTGTGCCATCCACCTCAAGGTTGTGTGTGTTGTGGCTTCACAAATGCTTTGCTGCATACCTCGGTTGTAACGAGTGGTTATTTCAGTCAAAGTTGGTCTTCTATCAGCTTGAATCAGTCGACCCATTCTCCTCTGACCTCTAGCATCAACAAGGCATTTTCGCCCACAGGACTGCCGCATACTGGATGTTTTTCCCTTTTCACACCATTCTTTGTAAACCCTAGAAATAGTTGTGCGTGAAAATCCCAGTAACTGAGCAGATTGTGAAATACTCAGGCCGGTCTGGCACCAACAACCATGCCATGCTCAAAATTGCTTAAATCACCTTTCTTTCACATTCTGACATTAAGTTTGGAGTTCAGTAGATAGGGGATTATCACGCTGATACGTAGGACTTCCGGATTCAGTGATCTTTGTGAAATGCCACTTCCGTTGAATCACAGATCTCGCTGGCGAACTGATGACGGACTAGACTAAGTTTATTTATACGGCATCCCTGGTAAATTAGTCTGATTCACTAAAGTGCCGGCTGCAAACAAACGAGCTACCTTGTTTTATTTTAAAGTTTTAATCCACTTCTTTGTTATACTCAATTCAGTCGGGAATCCATGAAAACGTACGTAGGGTTGGCGTTTATGGTTAGATTTACAAAGTGGAACTGAACAGTGACATATATAGCCTTCGTCTCTCAGCCATTGTTGAACTGCGTCAGAAGTGGACATGCACAAAGTTGACAAATTTTCTTGATCAGGACCACATCCCTAAATGCAATGAAGCAACTGCCATTTGATTGATTCGATAATTGCATTAATGAGAAATTGAACAGGGGTTCCTAAGTGTATATCCAAGTGAAACGCTTCTCGCACAATAAAAATGTAGGGCAGGGCTTGATTTTTAATTAAATTATCCCTTTCATTACAGAATAAACCATAGCTGTATTTTGTATCCCTGTCCTAACTGACAGCTGAAAGATGGGGAGGTCATTTTATTATTGTAACAATTTGAATGAAGGAGTGAAGTGTTAAGAGTAAAATTATATTCAAATTTTATAAAAAATCATATTTCTTTTCTGCAAAATTTAAACAGTAAAACAATTAATGAAACCGATAAATGTAAAGGTAATATACAAAAACAACAATAAATATTGTGAAAACAATAACTCCTATATATATATATATATATATATATATATATATATATATATATATATATAATGAGTTTGGCTAATCTAATCTAATTTTTATAGCTCGTCGGTTAGGCCTATGGGGTGATATGCGCTTTAAAATTATTGTGGGGCAAATGAATTTTTCCATAATTGGAAATGTCAAATCCTCTTGATAAGACCAGATGCTGGTCATCTTCTAATCCTCATCACATTGCATCACTTGATCGTCGTCATCGGCACAAGCACAACCTGACACGGGGCATGTCGCGGAGTTATTTACATTTTTTCCAAAGTAAAACTAACGTTCAAACCTATTTTTTAAAGTCTATGGTTCAAACGTGTCATAACCATAGACTGTAAAAAGGTCATAACCTGACAATGTATTCCTTTTTTGGTCGTCCTGCACAACAAAAAACACGCCCACTTTCACATCATGCGCCGTCTGACGTGAATAAAACCTGCGTGCATCTGTGCATTAGAAGTTTAGCTGAATAGACTGAAGATTACACCTGATCTTACAGCTTTCTTACAATGATTGACCTCCCGTGTCTGTCCGTGACCTGGACCCTGGTGGTTCTGGTCATAACTCTCCTGTTTATGTGAGTATTGAACATCAAAAGCAGGTCAAAGCAACCATCAGTGTTAGCCTATAGCTAATTTTACTATTTATTTAGTATTTAACGTCTTTTTTTTTAAAATTAAGTTAGGTGTTGTGTGTTGTCTTCTATTTGTTTACTTACACTACAGTTATCTATATTTAGGCTACATCAAAATGTAATATGTCGCAGGTGGTTGTTTGTAGTTTGATATCTCTGTCATTTATCACACTGTAGTTATGGTGTTTGGCCACATGGATTTTTCAATAAACTGGGAATTCCAGGACCAAGACCATGGCCTTTCGTTGGCACATTTCTCGCATACACTAAAGTTAGTAATTCACTATAATGTCTTAAGAATAATATGAGAATCTGTATTAAACTGATGCTGGAGCAATAAAGACTCTTTCATTAAATGTTTGTATTTTAGGGTTTTTACAATTTTGATATGGAGTGTGCTAAGAAGTATGGAAAAGTTTGGGGGTGAGTCTCAGTTATACATTTACTGTGTTAAAAGAATCTGATGAAAAGCTGTACTGTAATATCTGTAATTTTTATGTCATCAAATATGTCATACTTACGATTAGGGCAGCTCTGATGGCTAAATGATGTGCTATGATAGTATCTTATGTCCACTTAAGGCTGCATATTAAATCAAAAATACAGTATAAACAGAAAACTTGTGAAATATTGTTTCAGTTTTAAATGACTGCTTTCTATTTTAGTATATTTTCTATAATTCATTCTTTTGGTGTCAAAGCTAAATTTTCAGCACCATTACTCCAGTCTTCAGTGTCACATGATTCTTCAGATCATTTGCTGCTCAAGTAACATTTCTCATTATTATTAATGATTTTATTTATTTTATTTATTGATAAATGGAAAGTTTCAGAGAACAGCATTTATTCGAAATATTTTATTATAAATATGAAAGATTATAATTGTCTTAACTGCCACTTTTAATCAATTTAATGCATCCTTGTTGAATAAAAGTTTTTTTGTTTTCATACTGACCCAAAACTTTTGAATGGTTGTGTAGGTATTTGCCTGGGTTACTGTGAATGCAAACTAATCTATATTCCTTCCATTGCTCAGGATTTATGATGGAAGACTCCCACAACTAATGATCACTGACCTGGAAATGATCAAAACGGTTATGGTGAAAGAATGTTATTCTACCTTCACTAACAGAAGGGTAAGCTCACCTTCACAGTTATCCAGAAAGTTCCATATTGGCAGGAAACGTCTCGGTTACGGATGTAACCCTCGTTCGGAGACGTTACGTCGGATGACGACAAATGGGGTTCGCTTAGAAGCCTCTCATCTTCGAAAGAAATAAAACGAGCCCACAGGCTCCACTCGGAGATTGTTGAATCTGGCGAATGTGTTGGGTGTCGCCCAGCCTGCAGCTCTGCAGATGTCTGTTAGCGAGGCACCATGCACTAGAGCCCAAGAGGACGACACACTTCGGGTGGAGTGGGCAGTCACACCAAGGGGCCACGGTCGACCTTGCTCCTGGTATGCCAAAGCAATGGCGTCCACTATCCAGTGTGACAACCTTTGCTTGGAGAGAGTCTTTCCCTTCAGCTTCCCACCATAACAGACAAAGAGCTGGTCTGAGGTCCTGAAACACTGTGTTCTGTCTACATAGGTGTGGACTGGACAGAGCAGTGCCAAAGCTGGGTCTGGCTTCTCCAGGGGCAGCGCTTGCAGGTTCACCACCTGGTCCCGGAAGGGAGTGGTGGGAACTTTGGGCACATATCCAGGCCAGGGTCTCAGGATCACGTGAGAGTAGGCCGGCCCGAATTCCAGGCACGCTTCCTCAAAGGAGAATGCGTGCAGGTCCCCTACCCTCTTGATGGCGGCCAGTGCAACCAGGAGCGCTGTCTTCATAGAAAGGAATTTAATCTCCACTGATTACAGAGGCTCAAGACTCTGCAGGACAGTTAGAACCACTGAGAGGTCCCAAGAGGGAACAAGAGGAGTGCGAGGAGGATTCAGTCTCCTCACTCCTCTCAAGAACCTAACGATCAGGTCGTGCTTCCCTATGGACTTGCCTTCCACTGTATCATGGTAAACGGCAATGTATACTCTGAGGGTGGACAGGCAGCCTTTGCTCCAACCCATCTTGAAGAAAGCACGTCAATGATCGAACACCTCCGGGGCTGGTACGGGCAGGGGCACCTTCCTGCTACCACCTCTACAGCGTGGCCTGGTGCTGCTGGGGCCCAAGCGAGAGGGAGCAGAAGTCGCTGGAGGGCGTGTTCAGCGGCAAGCAGACTGAGGCGTCTGAGCCAGCGGCTGGGTGGCAGAACATGTTTGGTTGCCTCAGTCTGCTTCTGGGCGGCCAAGAGCTGTTGGGCAGAATCCTCGACCACGCCACCGAAGAGGCCTTGGTTCGCTCAGCCTCGCGCATATCAACCAGATTAAGCCAGAGATGTCAACCCACGCATGTGGAAATCACCTGACCCAGGGAGCTTGGTCGGTGAGGGCAGACAGCTCTTGGATGAGCCCTGAATCAGCCATATCCTCACGCATGTCATGAGCACCCAGAAGGATGGCATTAACATGCAGTGAGGCGGCAGCCTGCCGAGCAGCTCTATAGGTCTTTGCCACCGGAGTAGACAGAAAACCTACAGGCATTGGAGGAGTGCTTAGGGTGGCCACGCCAGGTGGAGGCGCTGTGAAGATACAGATGTGTTGCCACAGAACACCCCACGATTGGAACCCCAGTGTACCCTTGCCCGCAGCCTCTGTGAGAGTAGAGAAGGCGGAAGAGGACGTTGAGTAGTCGCGGAGACTTCAAAGGAGACTCCCACAATCTCATGACCTCTTCATGCACACCCAGATAGAAATTATTTGGGTTCGCCTTGCCCAAAAACCAATTATTAGCCTAAGTGCTCGGGACATGGCGGATGATTCCATACTCGCGGTGGCCTGGGAAAGCATAGCTGTCAGCTCTGGATCAGACTCATTATGCTAGCGCACTCGAGGATGGCAGCACAGACAAGCCATCATCACAAGAGGACTCCAGCTCACCTTGGGATGCGGCGATATACATGATTTCATCAGCAAGGGGACCGAATGAGATCGCGGGTCCGACTCGGGTAGGCGAACTCATTCGGAACCGCGTGTTTTGCAATGTAAAATATGGGTTGCGAACCTCGGATATTTCGTCAGTTTAGTTCCTGACCTGCCGACTTAGGTCCCCTTGGCCACCAGCTGAAGTATTATCTTGCGTGGAGAAAATAGATCGGGGTATGGATGAGGGGACTCTCGCTCTATTGAGCTTATCGAGTCTCGACCGTTTCATTGCGATGGTCATGTTCCCGCTGGGAGAACGTGACACATTCACAAACGCTGTCTGAACGTGATCGAAGCCCAAACATGTCAAAACCGTGCTCGTGCCCATCAGCTGAATCTATCAGAATACCGCACTCAGAAAAACACGGGCTGATCATCTTTAGAGAGACGAGCCATGTGCATGCTCTTTTTGTGAGAGAAAAGCTTGCAGGAGAAACACACGCTGTTCAGTTTAGCAGGCAGGAATGTGAAACTCACTAAAACTCGCCATCACACCAACACCGACTGGAAGCTGCTCGTCTAGACGATTCTCGAAGATGGTCAGAGAATAGGCTGCATGAGTGAAGAGAACTTGTTGGCTCCAAAGCGAAAACATATCTGCATATTGTCGTTCTCCTTTTTACCCACGCGGTGGGGCGGAGTTAAGCCATGCAAAGTCCGCAGACCCATTTCCTTGCCATTGGCTCATTTTATTTCTTTTGAAGATGGGAGCATTCTATGCGAACCCAATTCAACATCATCCGACGTAACTCAGGATTCCTTTTACACCCCATTAAAAATCTTTTTTTCTTTATTTTTATTGGGGGGGATTTGTACAGGAGATGAGTGCAGACTTGGCTGGCCCCTTTGCTGATGGAATAACTATAACTAAAGATGAGCAATGGAAGAGAATCCGTGGTACACTCTCTCCGTATTTCACAAGTGGGCGACTGAAGGAGGTATTGAACAGGTCTTTAAAGGGATAGTTCACTCAAACATTAAAATTTGAATAATTTACTCGCCTCCATGTTGTTTTAAACCTGAATGAATTTCTCTCTTTTTCTCTGTTTTACAAAAAAAGATGCAGTGAAGAAATATTTGTGTGTTTTTTGTTCATAAAAATGGGGTCCAGTATTGTTCCACAGATTTCGAACAAAATTCTAGTCTGTCTGTACTGTACAGTTATACTGTACTTGTTGCTCACATGAGACTTGCGTAACTAACACTTCCTTTTAAATCTGTTTCAGATATTTCCTATAGCTGTGACGCATGCAGATCGTTTTATTAAAAATATGCAAAAGCGAGACCACGAGCAGCCAGTGAAAATAAAAGAGTATGTTACATCGGTTATTAAAGTGCTTAACTTTAAAACATAAAGCGCATTTACTGTTAATCATGAACTTAACTAAAGCATTTACAGCAAAACTTTCACTAAATGAATATCATTAGAATATTTATTTCTAGTTGTTTTTTGTGAATCAATGAAAACCACATGTAATGTTGTGCAAACGATCCCTTTATTAACAAAATGGCTCTATTTTTATTCCAGAGTGTTCGCTCCATACAGTTTGGATGTCGTCGCCAGCTCCTCCTTTAGCGTTGACATTGACTCCATAAACAATCCAGATGATCCTTTTGTTACTAACATCAAGAAGTTTTTCCAGATCAGTCTATTAAGTCCTCTTATTCTGATTCAAAGTATGTCATTTGTATACTAAAATATTTTTACATGATAAAATAATTTGTTTTAAGATCTCAAAAAAATATGTTTTATTATTATTTCAGCATTTTTTCCCTTCGTTGCTAATCTTTTGGGAAAAATGGGTATACGTCTTTTTTCAAGTTCGTCAATGGATTTTTTCTACAGTTCCCTAAAAAAGATTAAGGACGAGCACAGCAAGAAATCAGATGTATGTTTGTCACCATTTCACTTTTCAACTACAGCTTCAGATTTTGAAGAGTTGTTGATGCCGCAGTAGATTTTGACTTTGTGTTTTTAATCAGGGTCGGGTAGATTTTCTCAAGCTCATGATCCAGAGTCAAATATCTGAAGATCAAGCTAAGGACACCACAAGTGACCAACCAGTAAAAGGTTTGAGAGACTGTACAGATTTTACACATTCAAGTGCACATGAACGTGTTTTCAAATATGCCGTTTCGTGAATTCGACAGGACTAACAGACCATGAGATTCTCTCCCAGTCCCTCACTTTCATCCTTGGAGGTTATGAGACTACAAGCACCACTCTCACTTTCTTCCTCTATAATATTGCGACTAATCCAGACTGCCTGGAAAAGCTGGTTGGGGAGATTGACACAAACTTCCCTCCTGATGTGAGCGCACAGGCTTCTGCTCTGTTCACAGGTTTTGTGTAAAGCAGGGTTTCCAAACTCTGTCCATTAAGGTCCACTTTCCTGCAGAGTTTTGCTCCGACACTAATCAAACTGAAGTAATTAATCAATGTTGGAGGTCAAATCTGCAGGAAAGTGGATCTTGGGGGCCAGAGTTCAGAACCCCTGGTGTAGAGAAACTATTTTAAGGCACTTTTAGAATTTGGAGTGCAGTTGTTTTACTTTGACATTTCTTTGTTTTTTCAGTCTCCCATTACATATGATGCATTGATGAAAATGGATTACTTGGAAATGGCCATCAACGAATCAATGCGTCTCTTTCCCACTGCCCCACGCTTAGATAGGCTCTGTAAGAAGACCGTGGAGATCAATGGGGTGACGATACCAAAAGGCACTCTGGTTGGAATTCCTACATATGTTTTATGTCGTGACCCGCAGCTCTGGGATTCTCCTGATGAGTTCAGACCAGAGAGGTGATGTGATTCATCTATCAGACTGTAGCTATGTTTCCATCCAAAGCTGTGAATTGGAATGTTGCATAAAACATTTACAAATAAATAGTGTTCCTATCCAATATGTTCAAGACAAAAAAAAAGTTACTTCCTGGGAATTTGTGGCAAAATATCTGTACACAATAAAAATGTAATTTGCTGCAATCGGGAAGCCACTGTTGCTTTTTCCTACATCGTAAATGACTTGCAGAAAAAGTCATTTCCCGAGCGTGCAGAAGAAATGCAATAAACGTTGTCATGTTCGGTGGATGCTGGTGTTTGAGATGCTGTGCAATGAAATCTCTCTGCTGTTTAATTAAATTAGTTATCCAATTATTATTTATTTATTTTGCATATTGACGGATTTATTTGATAAATGTTTCCATCGTATTTTACGTAGATGTCTTCTCATTGTATAAAAAATGTATCCGCTTAAATTAAACGCATACGTTTTTCTTTAATGCACATTTTTACAATTTTTTGCACTTTAGCGTTTCCAAAATGCGATATTACAAAAATGCACACAAAAGTAAGTGGATGGAAACTGAGCTACTGATGCTTTTTGAACATTTCCTTCACAGCTACAGTTTTTCTCACATTTTGTCTCTACAATATTTCTCTGCAGGTTCAGCCCAGAGAGTAAATCCGAGGTTAACCAGTATGCTTTCATGCCTTTTGGACTCGGGCCTCGAAATTGCATTGGAATGAGATTTGCCGTAATGATCATGAAACTTCTTATTGTGAAGCTTCTTCTGAACTTCACTGTGGAAACATGTAAAGAGACACAGGTTGGTACATTGACTGTCATCATATATAACGCCTTGCATGGCTCGGTGTGTGAATGGGTGAATGTGAGGCAATATGTAAAGCACTTTGGTGGCCATTGGGTCAGTCAAAGTGCTATATAAATCAGGAATGTGTGGCAGACTGCTTTGCCTCTACATTTAACATAAATTTACAAATGCCCTATTCTTTTCTCTTGTTTATTTCCAGATCCCTCTAGAGCTGAATGTTATGTTTCAGCCGAAGGTTCCCATCACACTGAAGTTTATACCAAGATCTCACAAAGAAAAATAATCATTAAAAAGCAGAATGTTTCAGTATAATTCTGTATAACATTTTATACAAAGTTATATAGCACTAGAAAAACTGCATACAGAATTGTTTTAATTTAAATATCATACATACATTTGCTGCCAATGTTTAATATTAACCTTTTTACCACCTTTTGGATTTATGGGGGTGTTCATGATTTGCTGAGCCTTAAGCTCTTCCTGATTCATTCATGTTTTACACAGTTTGGAATGGGGGGGAAAATCATTATTAAAAATGAATTATTGTATGCATTTAATTATATAACAAATTATATGCAATCACTAAAGCAAAAATCTGATAGGGAGTTTAGTTTTTAGGACAGAATTTACAACAACAAAAAAAGTTTAAACTGGATGTTAGAAACCAGCATACAAAGCCACAGCTAGATGCATTTAAGTAGACTTTAGATATGACAATTCTTCTGTGTGTCAATAAGCCCTGATCTCCTATTTAATATTGTGTAATTATGCTTATGATCATATGTGATATGGTAACCACACAAATTGACAACAATTGATTTGGACTTTATATATATTTTAGATGTATTGTATAAAAAAACTATATAAATTAAGATGACTTGATTGCCTCATTTTAAATAGGTTCTGTTAGTAGAAACCATAAAAACTATATGGTTTATAGTAATCATAAAACTGGCTACATGTGTGATGTAAAATATGGTAATTCTGTCAACACTGTACATTTTCTGTGTCACTAATGGCTGTTATGCAACGATCGTATCAATTTTACTAAAATATGATGCTGAGCATACACACACCTGGAGTGCCCTCTGTACATAGAATTCACCAGTAGTGATGAAGTCTGAGTCGTGCACAATTGAGAGAGTTTCCTTGTCAAAAATCAATATTTGATTTGTTTAATAGCCCACGAAACTCTCATATCCAAACTGGCAATATCATACCATGTTGAGCGAGAGGTGTCTATTTGTAGGTGAACACCTCTTATGTTTTTAAACAATCCCTGGATACAGAAACTAATATTCGCAGTCTAGCAGCCTGTTTTGTCCCACTACTTATGATGACCTTCTCATTTTCTTCAGTTGGTGTCACTGTAAACAGTGTCAATGTTATTGTGTGCATTAGAATGTTTTATGTAGGTGCACTCGCCGATATCAAACTTGAAAATGTCAATGCAACCAATTTTATAAGCTTTATTTTGTGTTACAGTTTTGTTTTATATTAGGGATAAACGTTGCCTAATCGTGCACCCTCATTCAGATTTACTAAATATGAAGTCTTGTGGTCATTGTGTTTAGTTGCATTTATCCAAAAATAGGCAACGTTGTTTACAAGCAGTAGGAGTCATTAACTTCTTTATTTTAAATCGCTTATTAAAAACCTGTAAAAGATAAACATTGTAGTCCATTTTCAATGTTTAGCACGAAAAAACTAACAGTTGAGGATCCATGTCATCATAGGTCAACCCTTGCTAAAATGAACCATGGTTTTACTAGTACAAATAATAATAATAAAAACAACACAAGGACAAATTAAACGTGGTTTTGCTACACTAACCATAGTTGGTACTTTGTATTTTGGTAAATTGTTGTTGTGACTACTGATTGTGTTGTTGTGTGTTTTGATGAATATGTACACTCTAAAAAATGCTGTGTTGTTTCAACCCAAATTTGGGTAAAATATGGACGAATCCAGCCATTGATTAAAATTTACACAATTTTTGAACCAACGGTTGGGTTTGTCCATATTTGACTCAAATTTTTTCAGCATTTTTTTGGCGTGTATATGTATGTTATTTGTTGCTGCTTATTGTTTATATTTACATTATTTCGAATAATATTAATAATATCCCAAGTGACTACCGTGGCTCAACTATATGTTTATCAAGCGACGAGAATACTTTTTGTGCGAAAAAACAAACAAAAATAACGAGTTTATTCGACTATTCCTTTTCTTCCTTGTAGGCCAGAAACGAGACTTCCTTGGATTTCCACGACGCATGCGCGAGAACTGAACTGAAGTAGTGTAAGGAGATCGCAATTCTCGCGCATGCGTCGTGGAAATCTAAGGAAGTCTATCGTTTCTGGCCTACAAGGAAGAAAAGGAATAGTCGAATAAGCTCGTTATTTTTGTTTGTTTTTTCGCACAAAAAGTATTCGCGTCGCTTGATAAACATATAGTTGAGCCACGGTAGTCACTTGGGATATTTAAACATTTTCTTCAATGACTTTCTGGGCCGTCAAGAGGCAGTCCCTTAGGAGCCAATGTGGTAGTTATACAGCTCTCAAATTTAATCAAAAATATCTTTATTTGTGTTCCGAAGACAAACGAAGGTCTTACGGGGTTGGTACAGCATGGGGGTGAGTAATTAATGACTTAATTTTCATTTTTGGGTGAACTAACCCTTTAGTCATAGTACAGTAGTATTATGTATTTGTATTAGTATATAAGTTTGTTACTCTTATACCTTCACTAACAGAAGGGTAAGCTTATAAACACCGTTTTGTACAATAAAAGTGTTGTGATTATGTACAGATTATAAAAACAGACCTAGCTGACGGCATAATTATGGTTAGATGAGCAACGGAAGAGAATCCGCAATTCACTCCCCCCGTATCCCAAGTCGTCATACAACAGTTTTGCCAAAGCGTAAACATTCAACGCACATGGCACCCATAGCCTCAATATAACACGCTTCAGTTATGGTAGCGTTAGATATGGGGTAGGGTTAGGCTTAGACCACTAGGAGGCGCTTTCTGCCCCATATATCAATGATGCTAAAGGGTGCCATGTGCGTTGGATGTCTACGCTTTGGCAAAAGCGTCGTATATGACGCCTTGGGATGAGAACCGGCTGGTATTTAACAAGTGGACGTGAAGGAGGTGTGGAACAGGCTCATTATATGAGCTGCCTGAATGTATCATATATTGGAGTCTAACAGTAAAAACAATCAGTCGTCTAGAGATTAAAATAGAAATGAGGCAAAGCCCAATTCATTTTATTATATTCTTGTTCCTCACATGAGACTTGCATAACTAACACTTAATTTTTAAATCTGTTTCAGATATTTCCTAGCTGTGACACATGCAGATCGTTTTATTAAAAATATGCAAAAGCGAGAGCACGAGCAGCCAGTGAAAATAAATTAGTACGCATCTGTTGTTAAATAAAGTGCACAACTTTAACACATAAAAGGATTCCCTGTCAATCATGAAGTTTTTAACTGTAAAACTTTTATTAAATGCTTATCATTAGAATATTTTTTTCTAGTTGTTTTGTGTATCAATGAAAACCACATGTAATGATGTGTATATTATCTCTTTATTTAATTATCTATTTTTTCATTCCAGAGTGTTCACTCCATATATATTTGGATGTCGTCGCCAGCTCTTCCTTTAGCGTTGACATCGACTCCATAAACAATGCAGATGATCCTTTTGTTACTAACATCAAGAAGTTTGTCCAGTTTATTGTCTTCAATCCTCTCTTTCTGCTAATGCATATGTCATTGTTTATATAATCAGGGAAAAGAAAAAGAAAAAAACAAATAGTGAATGAATTTTCTTATTTCCGGTATGCACTTTTGCAATTCTTTTGAGCAAATTGGGAATAAGTCTTTTGTCAAGATCGTCTATGGATTTGGGCGAGTGCAAGGAATCAGCAGTATGTCAGTATTTCACTTTTCAACACTCTTAAAAATAAAGGTTCCAGGATGTTTTCGTAGTGATACCATAGAAGAACCATTTCAGGTTCCCCAAAGAACCTTTCAGTGAACAGTTCTTAAAATGACCTTTTTTTCTTAGCATTAAGAACATTGGTAAAGATTCTTTATGGAACCATAGAACCCAATAAAGAACCTTAATTTTAAGAGTATAGTCACTCTCTGTTGTTGTTTAGATCTGGTAGTGATGGTAATGCCGCTGTTTTTTTTTTTTAATCAGGGTCGGGTAGATTTTCTCAAGCTCATGATCCAGAGTCAAATATCTGATGATCAAGCTAAGGACACACCACAAGTGACCAACCAGTAAAAGGTTTGAGAGACTGTACAGATTTTACAAATTCAAGTGCACATGAACGTGTTTTCAAATATGCTGATTCTCTCCCAGTCCCTCACTTTCATCCTTGGAGGTTATGAGACTACAAGCACCACTCTCACTTTCTTCCTCTATAATCTTGCAACTAATCCAGACTGCCTGGAAAAGCTGGTTGGGGAGATTGACACAAACTTCCCTCCTGATGTGAGTGCACGGGCTTCTGCTCTGTTCACAGGCTATGTGTAAAGCAGGGTTTCCAAACTCTGTCCATTAAGGTCCACTTTCCTGCAGAGTTTTGCTCCGACACTAATCAAACTGAAGTAATTAATCAATGTTGGAGGTCAAATCTGCAGGAAAGTGGATCTTGGGGGCCAGAGTTCAGAACCCCTGGTGTAGAAAAACTATTTTAAGGCACTTTTAGATTTTGGAGTGCAGTTGTTTTACTTTGACATTTCAGTCTCCCATTACATACGATGCATTGATGAAAATGGATTACTTGGAAATGGCCATCAACGAATCAATGGGGTGACGATACCAAAAGACACTCCTACATATTGGAATTCCAGCATATGTTTTATGTCGTGACCCGCAGCTCTGGGATTCTCCTGATGAGTTCAGGCCAGAGAGGTGATGTGAACATTTTCTTTCACTGCCACAATTTTTCTCACTTCAGTTTTTCTCACATAATAGCATGTGATTTATGCAGTTTACTGAACCACATGCCATATTTAAGCTAGAATTGCTTAACTGAAAGTCTCTCAAATGCAGGTTCAGCCCAGAGAGTAAATCAGTTTCATGCCTTTTGCACTCAGGCCTCAAAATTGCATTAATGATCATGAAACTTCTTATTGTGAAGCTTCTTCTGAACTTCACTGAGGTGACATGTAAAGAGACACAGGTTTTACCTATTTTAATTTTAATTTAATTATTTTACCACATAAAATGTGCCCGTGAGAGAAATACTTTCTGTAAAAATGGACATTTTGCTGTTCATTGCGCCCATAATACTGAATCCAGTGTCTTGAATTTCAGTTGGAAATCAAGAATAAACAGGAAGAGATTGTTTGTTTTCTTGCCACTTACAGCCTAATTTGAGCGCCCATGCCCTGGAAAACCACTAGTATAAAACAACCTAAAACAACCTCAGCATTGGCAGTTATTTTGCCAAAATGGATACATTTAATTACACTAACCATGATCTATTCATATTGATGTTCTTTTTTAGATTTTAATATTTTAACAAAGACTAGCACACTATTTAAATTTACTGTTAAAAAAATGAAATGAGTTTGATTAGATCTAATAGGACTCTCATCAAACGATTATTTATATCCACTAAATCAAATAAAATGATGAATATATATTTTGTAAGTTAATACACGTTTTAGCTGCTACTGCTTCCCTGAATGTTTTCAGCACTGAATGTGATGTAACCAGCTGTAATTACAATTTACATTAAAGCCTTCTTCCTCATTTCATCTTTACAAATGTTCTTGTCTTTCTAATACATGTGAGAAGTTGCACGTGCAACACTGGGTAAACTAGAATGTGTTTTGCGTTGTTGGGAAAATATTATATAGGGTCAAGACCTTTGTTGCAAGAACATGGTTTCATTTTTGAGAAATACGGAAATCCTTTCCCATTTCCTGCTGACTCATCTTCCAACAAACTGAATTTTTGGTTTGGAAATTTTTTAATTCATTGCCTGTTCTTAATCAAAACAATAAAGAATCCCATAAAATTACGAGGACAGGAAAAGAATATTGTTAAAGGTTTTGGTAAACCTATCCAGATGGCCAGGCAAGCCACATTTATAAAGTCCTTGTAGGATTTTGAAAACATTACATCAGTTTATTACACTCTATGGAATTCATGATTGTTACAAGTCAATTTATACCCTGATATACAGTATATATATATATATATATATATATATATATATATATATATACATATATATATACACATATATACATTTATACCTATATATATCCTGCTAATTAGGCCTGTTATAACCTGTTCTAAGTTCATAAAAGGATACAATTATCAAGAGATTAAAGATTAAATGTCTGCATTCAATGATTGGAACACAAGTACAGTACTAAGTACAGAAAAGTTTATGAACATGAAGAAAGACATTTAAATGAAATTAATTATAAACTACATTGTAGATTCAAATTAATAAGTTATATTAGATGTTGGCCATTGACATTTTATTAATCAAAATTCTTAAATTCCTCAACATTTTAATGGTGTGCAATATTTTTTTCAGTTTTATATTGTGGTTATGAGCAACTGTCTGCAATGGTGAAGACATACATGCTAAGTGCACTGCTGCCATCTGTCGACCAGAGTTTACAGTAAACGGCAAGTAAACTGATGGTAAATATGTTTAATTGCTTGAAAGAACATCCAAATACAAAACAAGACAAAGCTTAATACAATTCCAAGAAGTCCAAATAGCAGCAAAACAATGAATAAATAAAAAAAGAAACATTAAAAAGAAAAAAATATATATATGCTAATAAAATATCACAAATGGGTGTTAATCATTAGAAATACATTTTAAAGAACATTTTTTCATCATTAAATCTTTCTGGGAAAAAAAATTGTTTGGAAGAATTTTTTGGGACTATTATCTGCATTTATGTATGAAATAATTGGCCAAATAACTATATTTATAAATAACTATGAGTAAAATACAATATTTATAGTTTTAAAATCAAAGTCAGGTATTACATAAATCAAGGTCAACAGATCTTTAAAAAAATGTGCATAAATAAATTAATGTTTCAATCAATGACTCAACATCTGCTTCACAAAAGGTGTACTCATTACATTCCAAATTAAATATGTAGGAACTCATAACATAGATACATATTGTTAATAATTTTAAACTGAACATTTTACCTTGGGAAGAAGTGAAAAAAAGAGAGAAATCTTGTTCTAATTCGAGACATTTTCTCTTTAGGAAAACTTTAGAAGTGTAAGTCTGTGTATAAAATGTTCTTAAAACCTTATTACTTACACATCTCCTTCATAAAATGAAGACGAGAAATTACAGACATTTTACTTTAACCAACTGAACCAAACAGCAGGGCTTAGATTTTAACGAAGACATAATTTCCGAGTAGATGCCTATTGTATTTTCCACACACACACAAAATCATCATAACTAAAGAAATTTCCTTGCCCGTACATAATGTGTACAACGAGACACCTTTATTCATCCAGTCCTGAAAGAACACAGATTTCCTAGTAATGTGTAAATGAATCAGAACGTGTCCTTGCGAAAGTCCATCATCCGGGGTTTTCCTCTGCCTTGTTCTTTCTCTGTTTATAAACAGAGAGAGCGCAGAATGGTCGATGGGCCGTGACGTCACTTCTCGAACCACGTCACATTATTTTGACCTTTCTAAATGTTTTTCATATCGAATGAGAAGCACTACAGATCAAAACCCAGGTGTATTTAGTTACAATACGAGCAACCGCGCTTACAATAAACATCAAATCATCTTGTTTTTTTTATTGCCGCATGTAACGCACGTGTCGTCCGGTTCCAGGAACTGAAACAATATTAACCTTTAATATGCCAGAGGGCTTAGTGTGTAAGACCTCCGGCAATTGTCGAGAGAAAAACAAACATAACAGATAACAATTACGAAAAATATCAAGAATATCGCATTACGTCGCGCTAACTGTTTTAAAACGACTGAAGTGTACAAATGTGATTAAAGAGCACCACGCTCCCGTTCAAAAAATCCATGACGTGTTTTCCACGCGCCATCTCCATGTTTTGACTACCACCACCAACAGCAACACAGTGAACCCGACCAACACATAGCCGTTGCGCTTGCAATCCCCTCTGTGTTTTTCAACAAAATGGCTGATTTTGGGGATGATACCGGAGCGAGAGCCCTGCTTGCCCTCAAATCTGCTCCTTGTAGTCCGGTGGCTATTTCTATCCCGCCCGTGTACACTTTCTCCTCCTCGACTTCGCCCGGGATCATATCATCCATGCCCCTCTCCCCTCCGTCGCAGGCCCTCGCTCGCCTGGAAGGCAGGGACTTCGAGTTCGTCATGCGCCAGAAGACGGTGACCGTGGGGCGGAATTCGTCGCATGGCTCCGTGGATGTCAACATGGGCCACTCGAGCTTCATATCCAGGAGACATTTGCAGATCACCTTCGAGGAGCCTCATTTCTACTTGCGCTGTCTCGGCAAGAACGGTGTGTTTGTCGACGGCGTTTTCCAGAGGAGAGGCGCACCTCCACTTCTCCTACCGAGGGAGTAAGTTACTAAAATGAGATCTGTTTCCTTAAATTAGCCAGATGGCAAGCACCCATTCACCTAGAGAGATAATGCACTCCACATACAAGAGATTAAATGAACGTGCTTAATGCAGTGCCTGCATAATCCAACTAAACTGCATGCAAGTGCAGACTCGAGAGCTGTCAGAAACTGACTTCAAGTTCATTTCAGTGTCTTTAATGTACAAATTGGAAGGTGGAAAATGAAACTTTAAATGGATTTTCCAGCTTCCAACTGTTTTGGGCCCTGCATAATCTTGACAGTGTAGTAAATCAACCAGTTAAAGGGACAGTTCACCCAAAATAATCATTTACCCACCCTCGTGTTGTTTTAAATTTATATGACTATTTTCGATACAATTGTCATTTTTTTAACCATACAATGAAAGTAAATGTAACCATATCCATTTGTGTTCCATTGAAGAAATGCAAGTTTGAAATACCTTGAGGGTGTGTAAACAATGACATTATTATTATTTTTTTTTTTTATGGGTCAAGTAACCATATACGGTGGATCTGGATTCAAAAAGGGTACTTCTTTATAGTATAAATGTACTGACCCTTAAGTGTTTGTTTTAAGGTTGGCGCTGAAGATGAGTTAAAATATAAACATGAAAAGTTAAACGTTTCACTTTACGACCACAGGAACGGTGTGCACGACAGAGACTGGATCCACCACATGATTTTTTGTGGGCAGATGTGAGATACAGGCTGACACATATCAGTAGTAACCACTTTATAATCTTTAACAGACAAAGAACAGGGGGAAACCTAGTGATACTATAATGTAGTACTTTGAACAGCAACATTTGAGTAGTAACATGACAGGGCTTATTGTCGTCTTTGTTTTGATTGGTTTGAAGTGTAAACTATTACAGTTCTCGAAGCGCTTTTGATAAGTTTTCGGTGGTTGAGCTTTCAATTTTCAATTCACTTTTAAATTTGTATTTAAACTTGTACTTTCAACTTGACATTGGGTCATTACACAAACACAAGAGCTGTTACTTTTCCCATGATTTAGTTGTTCTGCTTACACTAAGCTTACTCTAAGTTAAAAGTTAAGCAGCACGAATAGTTATTTATCTCTGTAACAATCACAAATCAGACTTCAGTTTGTGGTTGATGATCCTGCTGCATTAGATGTCTCTGATAAAGTGTGCCACAAGTAAACCTTTCACAGGATCTGTAATCAGTTAATCAGTATGAAAGCAGTTTTTAGCACTAAACGCCGTAAACAGTAATGATTGAGAAGTGGATAAACTAGTTAACTAGATCAGACTGAAGGTCCCTACATTGCTTTGCTACTGTTAGGCTCGTTGTCTCTCTCAGATTTTATTAAAATCACTATTTGGCTTCTTCATTCTTATCAGAATTGCTTTTACTGTCTTGGTGTGCGCCATCTGTCTTATCAATGCGGTCTGTGGAGCTTGTTGTCATGGAGGTCAGAGCGGCTATTCCTGCAGACTGCTGTGAAAACACGGACAGACTGAACCTGTAATGGGTGCATGCCAAGCCAGCCATTCAAAACAACTGCAGTGTGTATGCTGTAGCATTAAAAGTGGCTTCCTGGTGCAGCACTTGTGTAAATACATCCAGGGGAGGCGGTGCACCAATTCATTATTCTCTCTGGCTACACTGTCGACAATTCAAAAACACAGAAAAAGGGGTGGAAGGGAAGGTTCTTTTTTTTTTTTACTCCAAAGTTCACGTTTTGTTGGTCCCAAGCAAAAACATAGACTAACAATTATGTAATTAGATTTTTTGTGCAGATTTTTTGCCTTTTTTTTTTTTTTGTTTATTTTGTGTTCACAAGCAACCCACAAATTTTTAACGACAAAGTAAGTGTCTGATTATCAATCTGAAATGCCATCCAAACCTATCTTCAGTATAGCCACATATTGCAGCAAACCATCTCTTTTCTTTCTGAAAAGTGTGGTTGTTATCGTTGAACCAAGTGTGTGGGTAAAATGCAAGTAAAATTCTGACAATACTGTAGTTTTTATATATATATATATATATTATTTAAAGTCAGTATTCTATGACCAGAAAATATTTATGCTCTACCGTTGAAAAGTTTGAGGTCAGTTAGATTTTTTTATTTGGGGGAAAGAAATTAACACTTCTATTCAAGTATGCATTAAATTGATTATAGTGATAGCAAAGACATGTATGATGTTACAAAAGATTTTGGTTTCAAATAAATGCTGTTATTTTGAACTTTTCAAAGCACAACTGTTTTCAACATTGATAATAATTATAAGAAATGTTTCTTGAGCAACAAATCATATTACAAAGATTTTTGAAGGATCATGTGACACTGAAGACGGGGGTAATGATGCTGAAAATTCAGCTTTGACATCACAGGAATAAATAAAAATGTTAATATATATAAAAATAGAAACATGTTTTTTTTTTAAATTATAGTAATATTTCACAATATTGCTGTTTTTACTGTATTCAATCAAATAAATGCAGCTTTAGTGAGCGTAAGAAATGCTTCTTTCCCAAAAAACAATATATTTTTGTGGAAACCACATATTTAAAAAATTCAATAGAACAGCATTTACAGTGTTGCCTTTTTTATCCAGTATTACTTTTTATAATTACTATATATATATAATCCCAAATTTGTGAACGATAGTTAAAAGCTGCTGCTAATTTATTGATTTGCCAGGTTTGCTGTACGAAAAAGCACTACCTATGTATTTCACTGATCTTTACGTTCACGTAAAATATTTTTTTATGCCTTAATATGTCTTTGTCCTTCTCTATAGGTGCACATTTCGATTTCCCAGCACGGTGATAAAGATTCAGTTTACAGTGCTCTACCACAAGGAGACACAGAAGGAGGAGGATCCTGTATCTCCTGTGAGACCCCTTTACCCACAAATATCTCCGCTGAAAATCAGCATTCCTGAAAATGACTTCAGAAGTATGATGAGTCCCCTGCCTTCGCCGACTGGAACTATCAGGTATGACTTCGTCCGAACGGCCACACAGAGAAAAAAACTGTAGTTTAGGGTCCAATTCTCACTGTTGTTAACTGGTTGCTTATTAGCTTGCATTTAAGATATTGGCTGTTGATTTAAGTCATCTCAAGTCACCTTTATTTATATAGTGCTTTTTACACTACAGATTGTATCAAAGTAGCTTTACAGTGATAAAAGTTCAGTGAAAGTTTAGTGATGGTTTATTTTTGTTGTAAATAGTTAATTTAGTTAATTTATTTATATATAGCCGCTCTGTAGAAAACAGTTATACCATCTTCCAGTTCAGTTCTCATATAATGGCGTCAATGCAGACAGATTAATAATATTGTTGAATAATAAATGTCCCCAACTAAGCAAGACAAAAGCCAAGGCAACAGTGGCAAGGAACCAAGGAAGTCCATCAGGTGACCGAATGGAGAGAAAACCTTTGGAAGAACCCAGGCTCAGTTGGGGGCCAACGAGCGAACCGTGTATGATTATGATTCATTACAGTTTAGAAGTTAGATTGGATCAGAACATTCACAATATTTATTCAGGTCCATCTGGTTGAAGATCACACCGGTATGAAGACGGGGTTTATTATGAACAAGCCCATATTAATGCCCTATTCTGCATGAACATATTCTACGTCCCTTAATCCTACTCAATACCTAAAATTAAGAACTACCATACTAACTAGCAGTAATTGGGAGTTTATTGAGGCAAAAGTTGTTGTAAATAACTAAATAATGTCGTAAATGTCGTTTGAAATGCAGGTCTTCTGCATAGAAATGAAAACATAGCAAAAATGTACAGCACCTAATGTATTTGGTGAAATACATATGCACAAATATGACATTTTAAAAAGACTACAGAAAAAAATAGGTTTTGCATATTCATATTATGTCAGTCAATATAATCAAAAGTCACATTTCATAATGTTTCCAGATTGCATTCCTGCATTTGAACTGAAGCATCAGAATTTGCATATAAAAGGAGATGCTTGATTTTGATTTTGAAGCTGCCTGCTTCTTTGTGTATCTAGTAGATACAATAGTGGTTGGAAAAGTCTGCCCCTGGCGGCCTCTCCGCTCTTCTGCACCACGTGTGGCTTTCAAAGCAAGCATGCTGTGTCCACATACCATATATGGCATGTGCCGAGCTTGGAGCTCCCTGATTGGTCGGTCGTAAAGTGTTGTGGTTTGGTGTTTTGAGCCACAGATAGTTTCCTTTTTTTTCCGAGGCCTCCAAACACCCCCCTCATCCCGCTCCTTGGCCTGCTCCTACACCTAACACAAACAGACACATGCTTTCTGTCCTTCCTGATTCCTCTTCCCTTACTGGGGGGAATATTTCCTCCTATTCAGCTCGACAAGCATTGGAACTGGTTATCCACGTCTGAGCTGCAGTTTCTACTGTAATATTTTTCTCTTGCAAGTTTCAGTCTGTGTGTAGTGATGGATTAGGGACATTTCCCAGATTGTCAGCCTGCTGCTTAAACAGCAGATGTGTGTAAAGCTTTGAATTACACACACATGGAGCTGCTTGAACAACTCCTTTGCACATTTTTTCTTTATGATTCAGAATCATTTGAGATAGCACTTTACAATAAGGATCCATTTGTTAACCATTAGGTATTGAAACAACTATTTTTACTGCGTTTATTACTCTGTTGATGTTATAAATATACTATTGTTTTTTTAAAATTACGTTTGTTTACAATACATTAATTATTGCTATTTTCCTAAAAATAAAATCTTTTTAATGAGAAATGAGAACATCCTATTAATATCATGTCATTTTAATGTAAAAGTCTTTACTGTCACTTCTTACTCCATTGATTGATTTATTGAATCATTTCTGAATAAATGTATTAATTTATTTTTGTATTAATTTTTCTTTTTAAATCTTACTGACCTGAAACGGTAGTGTAGATGATGGAAATGAACAAGAACCTAGATAAACAAATGCGGAAAAAGTATTTGTCATCTTACATATTGCATTAAATAATTGAATAAATTGACTAATAAAATTAATAAAACTAAAAGTTGGCTAGAATTTGTGTTGAATCATTTTTTGATTCAGAAAAGATGTCTGTTAGTTTAGTGAGTAAATGATCAATTGGTTAAATAGTTGTCCTCTGTAAATCATTACTGTACACGACCCTTTGGAATCATGTGGGTGGCTTACCAACCTCATTGTGTTTATACTACAATGTGTTTTGAATTTTAGTACCACTAAAATTTACTTTTAATATAAATGCATTGTGTAATGTAATGAAAAATGATGCAAAACATTTCAGTTAGTTCATCACAAACAAACTTAGTAATTGGTCAGGTCTGTTTTGGACATCAGGAAAAAAACAATGTTAAATGCAAATAATAATATGGTTGCTGATATTAATATATATTTTTAACTAATTAATTTATTTAATAATATATTAATCTTGATGTTAAAACTATTCAGTGATTGTTTTGAAAGGTACACTGTAACAATGGCTCTTTTCCACTGCTGGCACGGCTCAGTACGGTTTGGCTAGCTTCGCTTTTCTAGTGCTGGTACGGTTCGGAGTGGCACGGCTCGGCTCGCTTAACTTTTCCACTGCTGGCACGGCTCAGTACGGTTCGGCGGGGCACGGTTCGGCTTGCTTCGCTTTTCCACTGCGTGGCACGGCTCAGTACGGTTTGGCGCGGCATGGTTCGGCTAGCTTCGCTTTTCCAGTGCTGGTATGGCTCAGTACGGTTCGGACTGGTGCGGCACGGCTTGCTTCGGTTTTCCACTGCCGGTACGGGTCGGCGGGGCACAGTTCGGCTTGCTTCGCTTCTCCACTGCATGGCACGGCTCAGTACGGTTCGGCGCAGCACGGTTCGGCTAGCTTCGCTTTTTCACTGCTGGTAAGGTTCGGAGTGGCGCGGCACGGCACGGCTCGCTTCGCTTTTCCACTGCCGGTACGGCTCAGTACGGGTCGGTGGGGCACAGTTCGGCTTGCTTCGCTTTTCCACTGCGTGGCACGGCTCAGTACGGTTCGGAGTGGCATGGTTCGGCTAGCTTCGCTTTTTGAGTGCTGGTACGGCTCAGTACGGTTCGGAGTGGCGCGGCACGGCTCGCTTCGCTTTTCCACTGCCGGTACGGGTCGGCGGGGCACAGTTCGGCTTGCTTCGCTTTTGCACTGCGTGGCACGGCTCAGTACGGTTCGGCGGGGCACGGTTCGGCTTGCTTCGCTTTTCCACTGCGTGGCACGGCTCAGTACGGTTTGGCGCGGCATGGTTCGGCTAGCTTCGCTTTTCCAGTGCTGGTATGGCTCAGTACGGTTCGGACTGGTGCGGCACGGCTTGCTTCGGTTTTCCACTGCCGGTACGGGTCGGCGGGGCACAGTTCGGCTTGCTTCGCTTCTCCACTGCATGGCACGGCTCAGTACGGTTCGGCGCAGCACGGTTCGGCTAGCTTCGCTTTTTCACTGCTGGTAAGGTTCGGAGTGGCGCGGCACGGCACGGCTCGCTTCGCTTTTCCACTGCCGGTACGGCTCAGTACGGGTCGGTGGGGCACAGTTCGGCTTGCTTCGCTTTTCCACTGCGTGGCACGGCTCAGTACGGTTCGGAGTGGCATGGTTCGGCTAGCTTCGCTTTTTGAGTGCTGGTACGGCTCAGTACGGTTCGGAGTGGCGCGGCACGGCTCGCTTCGCTTTTCCACTGCCGGTACGGGTCGGCGGGGCACAGTTCGGCTTGCTTCGCTTTTGCACTGCGTGGCACGGCTCAGTACGGTTCGGCACAGCACGGTTCGGCTAGCTTCGCTTTTCCAGTGCTGGTATGGCTCAGTACGGTTCGGACTGGTGCGGCACGGCTTGCTTCGGTTTTCCACTGCCGGTACGGGTCGGCGGGGCACAGTTCGGCTTGCTTCGCTTCTCCACTGCATGGCACGGCTCAGTACGGTTCGGCGCAGCACGGTTCGGCTAGCTTCGCTTTTTCACTGCTGGTAAGGTTCGGAGTGGCGCGGCACGGCTCGCTTCGCTTTTCCACTGCCGGTACGGCTCAGTACGGGTCGGTGGGGCACAGTTCGGCTTGCTTCGCTTTTCCACTGCGTGGCACGGCTCAGTATGGTTCGGAGTGGCATGGTTCGGCTAGCTTCGCTTTTTGAGTGCTGGTACGGCTCAGTACGGTTCGGAGTGGCGCGGCACGGCTCGCTTCGCTTTTCCACTGCCGGTACGGGTCGGCGGGGCACAGTTCGGCTTGCTTCGCTTTTGCACTGCGTGGCACGGCTCAGTACGGTTCGGCACAGCACGGTTCGGCTAGCTTCGCTTTTCCACTGCTGGTACGGCTCAGTACGGTTCGGCACGGCACGTTTCGGCTCGCTTCGCTTTTCCACTGCGTGGTACGGCTCAGTACGGTTCGGCACAGCACGGTTCGGCTAGCTTCGCTTTTCCACTGCTGGTACGGCTCAGTACGGTTCGGCACGGCACGTTTCGGCTCGCTTCGCTTTTCCACTGCGTGGTACGACTCGGCACGCCTTGGTTCGCTTTAGCTCGGTTTGCTTTTCCACTGCAGTTAGTACCGCTTCAAAGTGGGTGGGATTATAGTCTGACCGTTATAGTTTATCCGCTCCTCGGCAACCAACGAGAGGAACGTCTGCACTTCATCTTCTCTTTTAGAAGTTTTCTTTCATTCTTTTTCTTCAAGCAAGTCAAGCAAGTAGTTTTAAAACAGGTGTTACAGCGGTGGCTGTTACTGAGTATTTAAATCTAGCGGATTTGATGTCTCGCAAATGCAATGACGCTGGTAGTGATGATTCTGTCTGACCAATCAGTGATCTGCAGTGTATTTACGTCACATTTTAGTATCGGTAAGGTACGCTTGGAATCTCAACGGAGGTGGTACCATTTAAAGCAAGCCGTACCGTACCGTACCATGCAGTGGAAAAGCGCCACAAGTGAGCCGTACTGAACCGTACCATACCATGCAGGGGAAAAGTGCCATAGGCCAGTGGTTCTCATCCTTTTTTTTGTCTGAGACCCCCCTTTTCCCAAGAAAATATTGTTGTAACCGCTCATCTATCTCTCACTCCCACACCATACACACGTCAAAGTAGCTGGAGCAACTTTTCTCTATTTATGTAAATGACGAGACGCGCATGGGCGAGTGACGTATGTGCTCAATTTTCCGTGAAAATCATCCTGCCAGTCTAATTATAATCGGCTTAACATAGTAAAAACAGGGTAAGACAAAAACACGCTTTGGAAAAAGGATTGATGTTTTGACTCAAAACATGTTTGATGTTTGACTTTAGAATGTTAATTTTGTACAAAAATACCTTTAAAAGTGTACCTTTTGTGTCGTACCAACTTTTGTGTCATAATCAAGTTCGGTGTTTTGGTGATGTATCGCCATTTGATTCTAAATGTAAAACCTGGGTTATTTTATTCTATCCCATTAGGATCCTTTGGGATTTTTTCTAATTTAGGATATAAATCCAAATAGGAATCCTGTACACATTTCTTTAGATTTTTATTTTAACTAGGCCAAACATTTTGCCTTTGGATTTTTTTTTTTTTTTACATATTCATAATCCATTTTTAGTACAGAAGTCTGTGTGGAAGAGGTGTTAGTTGTCTTTTGGCTTGTCATTAAGGTGTTTTTGTAATACGGTCTGGCTGTTGTGAAAATGCTGCCTCGGGACTGGACTTCAACCCAAAGCACCCCGCCCGCTGTGCCCTCACAGACACACACACACACACACACAATTGCCTTCCCCTTGCTGCTCAGAGAGACCTGTTTGTCTCTGCCCACACAACACAATGGAGCCTGCAGCACAACAGCCTTATCTGAGCACTCGGTTGTGCCCTGCTGTCAGAAAGCCAGCGATTCAAAAAAAAAAAATAACACAGCGGGTGAAGGAATGGTGGGGTGTGTCTGCGTTATGGGAGACTTACTGATATGTTGACAATTATCGCAAGCCTTAAAATAGCACAGCTCAGGATGTCTTTCTGTCAGTTTCAGCCTAAATGATAGAGTTATTATGATTACAATTCGGAAACCCTGTGGCTAATGGCTCAGTAATTGTTTTGCTTGTTTATCTGAATGGTTTGTTTTTTAGGGCTCGGGGCCACCTACTGGCACATTGTTTTTCATGTCAGGTGCATAACAAGGGTTATAAAATGGATTATAATGTTGTGGGTTATTTTCAGCATGTAATCTGCTGTCAGTTACCACAGGCAGTCATGTTTAGAGTAACATGTAATTAATTCATATGAAATGGAGCGACAGGGTTGAAAACATAGACTGCAAAAAAATAAAATTGGTTGAAAAGCAGAAACTTTTATGCTCAGATTTTTGCACAAAAGTGACTTGAGCTGAAAAGTGTTCTAGATGGATGTGGTTCTTCTGGTTGTGTGTTACTACTTTATGCAAACTTCATTAAGCACTAATGAATAACTACGCGATATAGTAGGACCATATTAGTCTATCAGGTGTGTTATGAATAATTATTGCTCTTTGGATATGTACTTTTTTTGTTGTTGTTTTAGAGTGCATCCTCGTCACATCCCTTCATTGTGCCTTCTTGATACTTCTGCATATATTACCCATTGCCCAGTCACAGTGAAAGTAACCAGGTTTACTTTTCAGCTGGTCATGACATAAGTTTACATAAGTATACATTTTTTTTATTTTGGTTGTGAAACTGCTATTTTAAAATAATACTTTTATTTAACAAGGATGCATTAAAATACATTTTAGTAAGATAAAACGTTGTTTTAAATTGTAATAACATTTCACAATTTTACTGTATTTTTGCTGTATTTTTGATCAATTAAATGCACTAAAAATGGCTTATAAATCTAAACATTTAAACTGGAATGGATTTTGTAACATTTTTTTCCAGGGTTCTCAGGAGCAAAAGTCAGAGTTGGGTATACTTCCGTAGTGGTGATAAACGAAAACTACAACAAATATATGTTTTTTGCATTACCATTTGCTCCAAGAGCAATAGGAGGGAAAAAAAATAAATAATGATAGCTTTCGTAAGACTTGCCAAAGCAGGAAAAAAATATTGAGAGATTGCTTACAGTGGTCTGAAGAGAGAAAGATGTCAAATCCTTCAGCTGTTGTGTTAGAAACACCTGCACATCAGCCTCAACAAGTTAATATAAAACAAGGTATAGTGTCATAAATGTACATTACATTTAAAAATGTACAACTTTTCTAGATTTACTCTGTTATTAACTGTGGAAACGCTTCATCGGTCTGTGAAAAGGTTCTATACAATCTTAATCAGAAGAAGCATTCCTTAAATCTCTGAAACAGTCTTCTTGGCCTGTTTAATAAATGATGTCTTCACCTTCCTGTCTACTTAGCGTTCCCAATTCCTGCCCAGCGAGCCCTCGGGGCGCAGGTTCTTCGGGATACCGCTACGGCCGCAACATCACCTCAGATCTCCAGCTGGCTGCTGAGTTTGCTGCCAAGGCTGTGTCAGAACAGCGCACTGAAGCCACGGGAGGAGACAGTCCTAAGGTAAGAGCCTCCAGCATCCCAATGCATGTCAAGCATGGTCAGTGTGTTTGTTCGCAAGATTAATTGTCCACTCTTCCTTCAGGATGAGTCCAAACCTCCATATTCATACGCCCAGTTGATAGTCCAGGCCATCTCGTCTGCACCGGACAGACAGCTAACACTAAGTGGCATCTACGCTCACATCACCAAGCATTATCCCTACTACAGGACGGCCGACAAGGGCTGGCAGGTCAGTTTATCTGCCAAAATTGTTGTCTGTCTGTCTGTCATGTTTGTGTGCTAATTTGTATTCCCTTAATCTCATTTCTCTCCAGAACTCCATTAGACACAACCTGTCTCTCAACCGCTACTTTATTAAAGTGCCGCGTTCACAGGAAGAGCCAGGCAAGGGTTCGTTCTGGCGCGTGGACCCCTCATCAGAGGCCAAGTTGGTGGAGCAGGCCTTCAGAAAGCGTCGGCAGAGAGGGGTGTCCTGCTTCCGCACGCCCTTCGGCCCGCTGTCCTCCAGGTGAGATGTCTCAGACACCCGCTTTCAACCCAGCACGCCCTCCGCCGACCCCCTTATGACACTCGCACTGTCTGATGTAATAGAAGCCTGCTTAGCCTCTTCTGTTTCCCTCTTTCTTCCCTATCTGTCCGTTTCTTCACTGGGCAGAACAAAGTAAGTCTGTTTGAATTTGATCCCTTTCATTCGCAGCATCAGTTAGACCCAACTTTGTGTTCTCTGTTTTTACACACTCTGTTAAAGCTTGCATTAGACTTGGGTCCAAAATGAACTCTAATACATGATTCAAACATTGGCTGATGTTACTCAAGTAACTCAAGTGTGGATGTTGTTACCGTTCATGTTGTTTAAGCCGGGATAGCTAAAAAATGAGGAACAAAATCGCAAAGTTTCAGTGTTTTAGCAAGAAGTAACATTTCAACAGTAGACTGGCTGATGTCAGACCTTCATTAAAAAAAAATATATATATATATATCGAAGGATCTACAAACTATATCAATGTCATTAAAGGGATAGTTCACCCAAAAAATAAAATTCGGTCATTTATTACTTAACCTAATGTAATTCCAAACACATAAGACTTAATTTCATCCTCGGAAAACAAATGAAGATCTTTCTGGTGAAATTTGGGAGCTCTGCCTTTCTGTCCATTAACAGCTACATAACTGACACTCTGACGCTTCAAAAAGTTTATAAATGATCATAAAACAAATCCATATTAATTGAGCGGTTTAGTCCAAAATTTTCTGAAGGGACTCGATCACTCTCTATGATGAACATATTAAATTTAGGCTTTTATTCACATATAAACATTGATCAGCAAACCTAAAAAGAAGATCAACCGAACCTGCTTGATGCGCGAGAACAAACGTCTTGATGAAGATCAAACCTGCTGAGTAACACGAGAATGAGCTTTACTGGTTCTTGCAGAAGCTCCAATATCAAATATATATATATATATATATATATATATATATATATAATGTCTTTACTGTCACTTTTTACATATCACATTATGTAGTTATTGTTGTTTAACATTTCAAATTGTAGAGATTACTGTTAATAGATTATGATGGAACATGAATGAATAATTAGGTATTAATAAAATAAATTTAAAAAAATACTAATAATTGTATAAATTTAGTTAATTATACTTAAGTATAATAATGTTATATTTATTCATATTTAATACCAAGTGTTGTGATTCTTGTAACTAACTATGTAATGTAAAAAATAATTTCTTGGTGGTTAATGTGAGACCCTCATTCAAAATCAAGTTTCAAATTGATTCATAGTTTTGATTCATAGTCAAATTTAAGTTTCATTGTGAGATGCCAGATGATCATTATTCAATTATGTTTAGATGCTGAAATTTTCTTAAAGATGAAGTCTCTTTCCTGCGCCCCTATTGGCACCAAATGTTCCCAGACATGCTCCATTACACCATTACGTTGGCCATTATTTGCTACGGTTGCTTCAAACTCACACTGCTCACACAAACAGAGCAGTGTTTTTAACCCTAAAACCGTATTCTGGACAAATGTGGGCAAAACAGTTTTGATTTATTTTAAAAAAATACTTCCCTTGATCTGAGCAGTACAAGACTTGGCTACTTTTCCTAAGTTTGACCTACTTTTCCTCCTGAACACACACAATTTTCTACAATGTTAAGTGGGTGAAAAAAAACTCCTTAATCTTGTATTTGGGTCAAAAATGGGCACCCATAGAAATGAATGGGAAAAACTGTAATTTAGAGCATTCTAAAATAAGCCAAAATAAGACACCAGGTGACAGCAAAGTTACTTCATCTTTAGGTTTTAGCTCTAAGAACTTATTGGAATGATATTTTAATGTAGTTAAAAAAATAAAAATAAAATAAAACTACATAGTAATTAATTTACATAGAAATAATTTACATAGAAAATATGGTACTTTTTGAAGTAAATAAATTCAAGAATACCCTTTAAATTAAAAAAACACCATAAATGGATAGACAAAACTTTATCAAAGACAGTGATACAACATTTATAATAAATAAAAATTAGGGTCACACCTCTGCCCACATTTGTCCACAATAACAGGATTAAGGGCTATAAAGTGAATACGGTTTGAGGGCTCCAGCTTCACACTCTTTACACTCATTTCTTAAAGTTGTCTCAGTCTGCATGATTTAAGAAAGTAGTTTAACTTAAAAAAAATATATATTCAATTCATCCGCCTTTTGGCGGGTGAAGCAAAAAGTTACTTTTGGACCCTGCATGGCCTGTAACATCTGAACATGTATGCGTTGCATTCACAGTGTGTATAAGAATTAAGGCCCATTCACACCAAGAACTATAACTAACTATATTAGCATCCACCAAAGCAAAATACAATAACATTCGGTTTATTCTAAGTGTGCACTGCAGTTTTGTCGTCTGCTCAAGCATTTTAAAATTAGTATGGATTTCTGTTGGCTGTCAATCTAAAAAAATCGTTCTTAAAATGATTGCAATGACTTTGTTATCGTAGCTATCGGCCCTATACTGTATGCTCTGTGTCTCTGTGCATGACTGACAGATCGTTGTGTTGGTTTCAGGAGTGCTCCCGCGTCTCCCACCCACTCTGGCCTCCTCTCTCCACACTCGAGCGGCCTCCAGACCCCCGACTGTCTGTCACGGGAAGGATCCCCAGTGTCACATGAGCATGACTTTGGCTCCAAGCTTGCGTCTGTGCCCGAGTACCGATACTCCCAGAGTGCACCAGGTGACCGTGCTTATTTTCATAGCACAGCAGTGCTGACTGCCAGTGTTTGGATACAAACAATACTAACTTGCCTAATTTTTTTAGCAGTATGATATTAGCTCAGCTGTGGTAAAAATAGTGTAGCTTTTCCTGTAAACAACAAAATTTAATTTTTGAGCAGAGGTTCAATTACAGTTTGCATAAATAATAATAACTTGTATTGTAGCTGACTACCATTTCTATCTCTGCAGTCTTGGCAAGCTTCAGATTCAGAGTCGATTCTGCAGTCCTAAATGTATTTTCTCTGGTGATTCCTCTTGTCTCTCAGGCTCTCCAGTGAGCGCCCATCCTGTAATCATGGCCGTACCATCTCAGTCCTCAGCCGCCATCCCCAAGCCTGTGACTTACATGCCGGCCTCCATCATTAGCTCCTCCCAGGCCTCTGGTCAGGCCATCCATGTGGTGCAGCAGGCGCCAGCTGTCACCATGGTCCGTGTAGTGACCACCTCCACCAGCTCCCCCAATGGCTACATCCTGGCTAACACCACCTCAAGCTCAGGAGAGGGACCTGGAGATCAAAGAGGTTAAACAACCCATTTCTTATTGTTTTGGGCAAAATCTGTTGGAATGCCTCTGTGTCAATAGGCCTTAACTGTCTCTCTGTTAATCTTCTGTGTATGCAGTGGATGAGATGCCTATGGTTGGCAGTAGAGTTATTCAGGCTGTAGGGAGTCACATAAGCTCGGCCAATAGGGGGCAGCAGAGCTACACTGTTGTCCAGCAGAGCGCCATTCACCACCTTCCTGTGCAGACCATTTCTCAGAATGGCAAACATGCTCTTCCTATCAGCAGTGTACCAACCAGTGCTTACGGTATGTGTGCGTAGTGTGTGTCCATTCATTGTTCTGAAGCTGGTCTTGTGCTTTACTGATATGATTTGCCGATTATCTGCATGACATTTTTCTAACTTGTTTTAAAATAAGTGGATCATGACAAAGTTAATTATTAATTAATTAATTAATTAAAAAGCATAATGCAATTCATACATGTAATGCTTTAAATAGAACTTTCTATTAAGCTTGTTTTAATTACATAATTCAAATTAAATTTGATTTTTATATTATTTTTTTATGGGAGCAGAATATAACTCTTATCTATACAACTTCTTATATTCTTTAAAAAACTGCATATATATATATATATATATATATATATATAATTTCTAAAAAGTCTATAAAGTCTAGGGTTTACATTTATTGTTTAAACAAAAAAATAATTGAAATATAATAAACATTAACTAAAATAAAATGAAATAGAAAAAAACTTTATATATATATATATATATATATATATATATATATATATAATAAAACCTTCAGCTAGTAACTAACTAAACAAAAAAATATCCTAAAATGTTAACTAATATAAAAATGAAAACAGAAAAGATAAAAATAATTATCAAATTCAAAATATTGACAAAATATTTGTATATAATATATAAATGGTATTAAAATAATACTGTCACCAAATCCAGTCATGTGGTGTGACCAACATGCAGGAAGAAAAAAAAAAATAAAACAAGAAATTATTGCAGACCCTCATTACTGTGTGCCAAGGTCAGTAAGTCTCTTAAAGGAGTCGTTCACTTTTGCTGATATTTGCCCCCATGTCATCCAAGATGTCCATGTCTTTCTTTCTTCAGTCGAAAAGAAATTAAGGTTTTTGATGAAAACATTCCAGGATTTTTCTCCATATAATGGACTTCACTGGGAACCAAACGGTTCAAGTTTCAGTGCAAACAGTTCAAAGGACTTTAAACGATTTCAGACGATGAATAAGGGTCATATCAAGCGAAACGATCACTCATTAAAAAAAATAAAGTTTACGTTTTATAAGCACAAATGCTTGCATTGCTCTGTTCTGTGATGCGCGTTCATGACTCTCCTGTTCGAACTCGTTCATCAAACTTTTTTTCGTGTCATTTGGTTCATTCAACGAACGAAATGAACGAATTGACTCGGGGAAAAAGATTTGTTCATTTTGATGAACGAGTTCGAACAGGAGAGTCACAAACTCGATAAGACCCTTATTCATCATCTGGAATCTTATAAAGTCCCTTGAACAGTTTGCACTGAAACTGTTTTTTGACCTTGAACCATTTCGTTACCAGTAAAGTCCATTATATGGAGAAAAATCCTGGAATGTTTTCATCAAAACCCATGGACATCTTGGATGGCTTGGGGGTGAGTAAATTATCAGCAAATTTTTTTTTTTTAAGTGAACTACTCCTTTAAAAAATAAATATTTGGTTAATTGTATAATTGTGTTATTTACTTTGTTCTCACCAAGTAGACGTTAAACAATAATAAATACTAATTGTGAACTACAAATGTTTTTTTTTTTTTTTTTTTTTTTGCGTTTAACTTGATGGTTATTAAACATTTGAATACAAATAGTCCACGTCTAGGAACTTGGCACGTTTTAAACGGCTTTATTTTAAACCCTATTGCCTTTCTTTGACTTGTAACCTATTCTCTGTGTTGTCGTCTCTATCCCCTCAGCCCTTACCAATCCTCTTCAGATCTTGGCTGCCCAGGCTTCTACATCCCCACCGGTCCTGGTCAACAGGCCCTCCAGCATTGAAACCAACGAGTCCAGCATCAACGAGCCCGAGCTCAAACGGCCCAAAATGGACGAGGACAGTGTCGCTCCAGTCCCTCAGCCTGTTATTGTTGCAATGAACCAAGAGGCCAGTGAATGAATAAGTGAGTGATCGAGTGAGCCAATGACGGATCATTAAACCACATCTCACAATATCGTCAAACATATTGAGGGAAACGTGTTTGGTTTTCTTTAAAACGAGAACTTAAAAGTTTTGTAAACGCCCGACACGGGTAACTGATCGAATGTCTTTGTAAGAAGAGGTTTAAGCGTCTTTGTATCATGGGGGTTAATTCATTGAGCTACATCTGGCAGCATTAAAATTCAATGCTCACAGTTTTAAATTTGTAGGGGTTTTTAATCTTGTAAGAAGTATGAAGAGAGGTACACGTGCTTAAAGACACCAGCTAGGCATGTGCGCCCAGGTAGTTCCTCACAAGGTACATCTGAGAGAGAGAGAGAGTTCATTCTTCTTTTCGGGATGGGGTGGGACCAATACCTATGCAGCTATTACAGTCTGAGACCACGAGTCTCTCTGAATTGAAACAGTATATAAAAAGGGTCACAGGAACTGCAGTTACCTGTGTGGCCTGTGTGAGGATTTATTTATCTCTGTTAAAAAAAGACTATCTTTAATGAAATAATATGTTAATACTCATAGAAATGAACAGATAGGATAGAGGCCTTTTCTAGCTGGAGTTCTTTAACCTACATTATTATTCTGGGGAGGATTCTTACCTTGCTTGCTTACTACAAAGAGACATTTCTAGAAAAATGCTTATTTCTTAATTGGTCTGTGTTTAGCGGAAAAATTAAAAAGAACTCAATGAATGTAAGTAGCGTTTGTTTATTTGTTCGTGGCACCCACTTTTGACCTGAACTATATATTAGACCATTAGAATGTGTTTGTAGATATGTTCTGTTATAAAAACTAAGTTCATCGCAGTCGTATTGGCCAATCCCCATAAAGAAATCCGGATTGCATCGATGGATGAATGCAAGCACATGATACCAAATGCTTTTCCAGACCCAGGAATGTAACTGTTGCCGAGGCCGTTTCTTCACTGACTTTCTGTGATCACTTAATAATCACAGAAGCCACTAAATGAATGTTGAGTATTTTTCTGAGAGTTCAAGAAACCTATTTTTTAGGAGTATACACAAAGTCAGCCTTTAATGAGACTTTCTAGTTTTACTAAGAGAAGAGTAAATATATATTGTTGAAGTTATTCCAATGTGCTTTCAAGACAATCACTAACAGGATTCAATTCAGAAACCGCTTTGTATGTTGCAAATTATACACACCACAAATGTGCAGTGAAGTACCCTAGTGTACTTGAAGTGAGCCACTGTTTGTATGCTAACGTAGTCACACGGCCGTACAGTGTACCTTTTGCAGTAGAAACCGAAACTTCAACAGACCAAATACATATCCTCATTATTAGTGCCTTAGTGCTCCACTTCTTTCAGGACTCACTAAAAATCAGTGTGATGTACTACTTAAAGACAACTTCATCAAACTTGCCTACTAATAAGTTAATTCGCAGGTTTGAATGAATGAACACATCTTGCAAGAAAAAAAGAACAACGCAGCATCCTGCCTATGTAACAATGGAGGGATTGTAGAGCCCTAGAAGAACAGATGAGAGGGTGACTTTTTGTGTTGTGACTGGAAGGGACTGAGCAATATGGTAAATGAAAGAGGAATCTGTCAGTAAAAAGGTCTTTTGGAGGTTTTAAAAGCATCAAACGAACATTTGGATTCCAACAATGCAGATATCAATGTAAAAAAAAATATAGAGATTGGATCTAGTTGATTAGATGTCACCCTTCGTTTCATGTCGTCACAATGTGGGCTACAATAAACAAAATTAATGAGAGAACCACTATTCCATGTTTATTTGACACAAAAGAATATGTTCTTCATGACTGACCTCCTGTATGCTTTTATTTCTTTCTTATTCCGTTGGAATAACCAATGGAATGGTGAAACAAACATTGTCATTGTTAACACAATCAACGTACAGAATTAGCTGTCACTGCCTAAATGTTTTTCATGATACAATTAACAATATGCCACAGTGTCTGTACACGTATATAACCATGGAGCATTTTTATCACAACGATATTCAGATTTTTTTAATTATTATTCCTTTTTGTGCTTGTTTTGTTCTGTTCATTGCTATTTGCATATGCAAGTGTTTATACACTAAACATTTCTAATTTAAACTTTCCTTTCTTTTTTCAAAGAAGATATAATCTGTTTCCACTGTACACAAAACACCCCTTAAATCCCCTTGCTATGAGATCATGCCATACATCTGTGAATGTCCACTGGTTTGTCTTTTAATGTGTATTTAACTACACAATGTATATGAGGGCTTTTCTTCTGTCCATGCAGTTTATGCAATGGTGTACCTGGAATTAATAAAAAATACTTCACTGGCTAATCTTTTAAATGAATCTGTGATCATGACATCTTGTGTCTCGATTCCATGGATGAAGGTTTAAGCCTTGCAATATATCTTTGCCCCTGCCTTTGTTTCTTTTAATATTCAAGGAACTTATTTTTATCTTTCCTTCTTTATTATATGCTGGGTACTTTGCTTGTTTCTGTTTCCACAATTTACTTTCCCGTTTATAGGGCCCGAACACCGATGGTGTGAGGACCCTTTTGGAATTGCTCTGTTTATTATTATTTATTTATTTTTTTGTAACCCTGTCAACTCTGTCCTGTCTTGGTCTGAGGAGAAGTTTTGAAAATCCAGTTAACCGCAAACTATTAAAAAAATATGAGCTACAAAGTTTCAGCTGCAGCCTGCTTGTGCATGCAATGGTGATCTCTGGCTCTGATTTATAAATATGTTTTTTAAAAGCAGTAGGTATGAATTTTATTGCTTACCATTAACTAATTACAGCTTTGATCATTCAGGAAGTTTGTATGAGAGTGCAAATTTTTTTTAAAAAAGAAAAGAAAAAGGTTTCTGGTGTATCAGATCTTGTTTTTAAAATATTTAAATGAATGTTACTGAATGATTGAACAGTGTCTTGTAATGTAATTCTTCATTGGACACTGGCTTTATTCATTTAGTCAGACCTCGTGGATTTTATTTTTACACATAAAATTGTAATTCCTTTTAACTCTAATAACAATATGTTTTACTGTTTGAAGTATTGTGCATTGACACTGCAATGATTTTCTCGGCTAGGATTATGTTGTGTTTTATGTTTTGTTTGTTCTTATTTTTATATAGTGTAGTTCGCCCTTTAAATGTTGAGTATATGCCTAGTATATTTCCATTTGTTGTTGTAGAGAAGGTGGTAGGTAAATATTTTTTTTTTCTTTTTTACATTACTGTAAAACATTCATGTATTAGTACCATGTACAATCATTGGGGACTTGATACATGCATTAATTCTATTAAAGAACATTTCAAAATGAACTTTTCGCCTTCTTTGCATTAGCTAAGTTGATTTACAGTTTGATCGTGTATTTAATATGTATTCTAAATGTATGGATGTGGTTTGGTATATAAAGCAAATTTGTATTTTACCAGGTGGTACAAAATTATGGGTTGTCGTATCTTGTCGGCGTTTAAATAATGTAACAAACCTTTAATCTAGCGGAAATATAAGTATTATATACTATTTATTTGTATGTGTATGCTGCTTGGAGTTGGTGTGTTTGTGTTTAAAATGACAATGCCTGTTTATTACTTGAAGATGTTTAAATATATATAGGTTATAAAAACTACAAACAGAAACGCTAGTTTACGTTTGTTACACTATTTTGTCACCGACTGGCAAAAGGAACCATATATCTACAGAGAGATCAAAATATTCTACCCAGATGTTTTTGAACTCGTATAATATTCTACTCATGAATATGAAAGTCTAATCACAATATCTGAATAATTCTACCACCCCCTTTGTTAAACTTTTTCAAGGCCGACTTACGCGTAAAAGAGGAACCAATTGTGGTCATGTGATTTGCTATCAGGACATCATAGCTGACGGAGCGAATGTTTTTGATTATTGTTTTGGTTTTTGGTTTTGACATGTAAGTTAACGTTAATTGTATTTGTATTGCCCTCAAGATGTATGCTGCCGCGACGGAGAGTTTAATAAAGCAGGCGAGGTAAACCTGCTATATGTTAAGTAAAACTTTTCTGTCAAAAGCTGTATTGGTCATAATGGCTGGTCTGGAACCTTTCTAATTTAGACAAGTTTCTCATTTAAATCAATATACCTTTCAGAGAAATTAAGGAGGAAGAGCTTCAGAAATTTTGCGGACGCATATTTAAGCTGCTCCACACTAAAGACGTTAGTGGAGAAACCGTGGACTCCCTCCAGAGACTCCATCTGATAGTTTCTGCCACAAAACATGCTAGAGAGTAAGTCATATTAAACTAAATACATCTGAACAGCACGTGGGCTTGAAACCATTTGTCTGACCCTTCAAAAGTGTACCAGAAAGGTGTATTTCAGGACATTGTAAGTGAATAATTAATTGAAGACTTCCTCCATTACTATCAGGCTTCCATCAGATCTGGTGATGAAGCTGCAGACTGTTCTTCGCTCTTCATCGAGTCCAGAGCAGCTCCAGGTCCTGTCCTCCTCCATCATACGGCAGAGTTTTCCTCCCAGCGTGCACAGCCTCTGCTCGGATCTCAGTCAGGACAGCAGGACCTTTAGCTATGTGGCCAGTGTTGTTCTCTCTCAGGTGAGTCACAGGCTGTTTATGATGTTGAATGTATCATGAATGTACATTTAACTAAATCTCATTTTTCGCAGGCTGGAAATAAAGAAGATGTGATCCCCCTTTGCCACCATCTGCTGAAAAGCTTTGAGTCTCGATTGTCTGACGGGCTGATACCTAAGCATGCTCTTCCCATTCTCTCTGAAATGATTACGGTTTATCCAGACGTTCTCACAGATGGTAAAGTCAAACACATTCATGAAATGCAATAGTATCGTGGGTCATTAGGAATTACTGTGGGGTCCAAAAGTAAAAAAAAATAATGAAAACACAACATTAAATAAAATATTGTTTCATAGTTTTATTGAATTTTAAATTAAATAGGCTATTTAATTTGACGTAATGTTTATCCGAGTGAAGTGGCTGCTTCCCGAACGAGAAAAACATGATTGGAGTTTGAATCCAAGATTTGTAAAGATGTAACATGAATTATGTTGTCACTAAACCCAGATCAGGTGAATCTGGTCAGTCGTAAGGCGGTGGATTGGTTGCGTTATGCCAGTATGCAGCAGGGAGCCTCCATGTCTTCTGGGGGATTTTTCAGTGGACCAAGAGCACGTCAGGTGGGGCATGTTGCTTTTCCTCATTCACCAATACCTGCACCATCAGCCAATTAGCTCAAGTTTATACAGAGATGTATAAAGTACTAGAAACCTGGACTTCAGTAAAAGTACAAGTGCTCTATCAAAAAAGTGACTTGAGTGGAAGTTGAAGTGCTCTTTAAGCACCACACTTAAGTAGAAGTACTAAAGTATTCAACATTTTTTGTACTTAAGTATTGCAAGTAGTTTATTTAAAAATTGGCGGGATACAAATTTGCTTTGGCGGCCACCAAAAAAATGTCATTGCAGGACAACCCCTGCATTAGTTGTTAATGTGTGTGTGTCAATCAATACCATTACCCTATAAAACTGCTGTGTGATTTAGGCAGCATGAAAGCCAACTTGCAACGAATGATTCGTAAAAATGTTATAATTGTAACGAATAACTAGCAGAACATTAAAAAGTATTAAAGTATTAGATTAGATTAGAGTATTAGAAAAGTAAAAGTATTAAATTCATCGAAAATATCTACTGAAGTAAAAGTAGAAGTATGAGAAAAAAACAATACTCTAGTAGAGTACAGATACAGTATTTTACTTAAGTAGTTCTACTTCGTTACTATACATCTCTGAGTTTATAATGACAACGTTGAGTGATCTCAGTGAACTGATCGACATCTCTTCATCAGCCAGCTCCACTGATGGAGGTGGATGGGGTGGTAACAGGCGACTTCTTCACTGTGCTGTGTGTGGGTCAGAGCTTCACTGAGGACCAGTGGATGAATATGTACACTTTCTCTATGATCAAGGGTTGGCTGCTCACTTACGACGCAGACGGGACTACAAACACAGAATCAGGTACAGAAGTCTGAACAGAGACATACATATATATATATATATATATATATATATACTGTATATATTAGGGCTGTGCAATATATATATATATATATATATATATATATATTAGGGCTGTGCAAAAATTAATTGCGATTAATCGCATCCAAAATAAAAGTCTGTGTTTACATAATATATTTGTGTGTGCTGTATATATAAATACACACACATGCATGTATATATTTAAGAAAATGTGTTATTCATATAAAAAATATTTATATTTAATTTATATTATATATATATATATATATATATATACAGAATTTAAGTGCAAATAATTCTTAAATATATACATGCTTGCATAGGTATTTATATATGAAAAATAATTATATACAGCAGCACACACAAATATATTATGTAAATACAGACTTTTTTTTGGATGTGATTAATCGCAATTAATTTTTGCACAGCCCTAATATATATATATATATATATATATATATATATATATATATATGTATACCATTATTATAGTAGTGTTATTTTACAATAAGGTCTCATTTGTTAACATTAATGAATGCATTAACTATCATGAACTAACAATAAACAAACTAGTTTTACAGCATTTAGTAACCTAAACAATTTTCATGTTTGTTCACTGCACATTAACAGATACAACTTTTGATTTTAATAATGTATTAGTAAATATTGAGATTTACTCTTGATAAATGCTGTTGAAGAATTGAGAGAGAGAAATGCCCAAAAACGATTTGAACAGTCTACATTGTTTACGAATTGTCCCATCAAGTCGGACATCAAGTCATTTCATGCAGTTAAGATGAGTAACATGGGATTTTCATCTTTGCTAGCTCCACTAAAAAAAGCACAGGTCATTCAGTCACAACACCAAGGTAAGATGCAGGTGAAAAGCCTGATATGATAAATCTGCTTCCTGTGCAATCAGAAACTCCCTTTACTGAATGATATTCCTGCAATCAGAATAAACAAACTCTCCTATTCCTAAATCTTATGGGGGAACAATGATGTATGTGTCAAATTGATTTTGAGTCTGTGGCTATGTTTGGAATGAAATACTAGCTTACTACTGCTTACTGTGGAGTGTGTATCAGAAAATGTGCACTCTATACTGCCAATATAGTAGTATTGTAGTATGCCGTTCCAAAGATAGCCTGCACGTCCTGTCATACGCTCACCCCTTCAATGGCTTTCGATCCCGCCGGATAAGGTGCTCGATGGAGACGTGTTGTATTGTAACGTGCTGTGCTGATGATGTAGATGATCGCTCAGAGGTGGACAGTTCAGTGATGTCCATGGTGTCGGCCACATCCTCTTCCAGCAGACTGCTTCCTCCCAAAGAGAGACTCCGCGAGAAGGCTTTTGAATACTGCCAGCGTCTCATTGAACAGAGTGACCGCAGTGAGTAGATCGTACTCGTAGGCCATGGAGAATGTTTATTGCACTCTGTTGGTAAATGTGTTGATTTATTTCTCTCCTTTTTGTTCAAAATGCAGAAGCTCTGAAGAGGATGGATACGGAGCTACAGAAAGCAGTAAGCACCACATAGTTTGTGGTTGGCAAGATTTTATGATGTTTTTCAAAGAGTCGCTTATGTTCACCAAGGCTGCATGTATTTGATCAAAAATACAGTACAAACTGTAGTTTTGTGAAATATTATAACAATTTTTAAAATAATGTTTTATATCTCAATATATTTTAAAATGTACTTTATCCCAGTGCTGTCAAAGATGAATTTTCAGCATCATCACTCCAGTCTTCCAGTTCACATGATCCTTCAGAAATCATTCTAATGATGGTTGATGCTCAAGAATCGTTTATTATTATCAATGTTGCTAGTTAATTTTCTTTAATGGATAGTTAAGAAAACAGCATTTATTATGTAGGAATTTATGTAGGAATTTTTGGTATGTCTTTACTAATTTATTTCAGGCATCCTTGCTAAAAGTATTCCTTTCTTTTAATAAACAAAAACATCTTACTGACCTTAAACCAATGAACAGTAGTGTATATTTTAAATTAAGCTTACTATTTAGTGGGGTCTAATATATAGCATGATATTTAATATTTATTTTTTTGTTTGTAATTTATCATTTTAATCTGCATATAAATGTAAATTAAATATCAAATAGTCAAGTCACATTTGTTTATATAGCGCTTTTTACAATACAGATTGTTTTAAAGCAGCTTTACAGTGATAAAAATAGTAAGTAGTGTAAATAGTGTATTTTGTAAATAGTGTCATAGTCCAGTTTAACCCTTTTTGACCTGCTATAAAACAATTCCACCAGAGTATATCTTCTATTTTTACATGCTGTGCTGTCATTCTTTTGAGCATTTTCATATGCCATACATCAAAATAATCCTTACTCTCCCAATTTGAAGGCTATGTTTGTAATAAATCAATAGTAACTAGATAAATATCTCAAAAGTACAATAAACTAAAAGAAAAACATTTTTTTTAAAAAAAATTCTACATATTTTATTCAATACATAAAATGATAAATGTCAACCTCAAACTTGTCAATGTGAAAAACGTGCATATTTTTAAAAAAAAAAATTTAGAATATAAAATAAATAGACCCTGTCATAACAATTAATAATATAATAAATATTAAAAAAATAAAATAAAAAATAAACACCAATGTGTCCCTGAGCAAGACACTTAACCCCTAGTTGCTCCAGAGGCGTGCGACCTCTGACATATATAGCAATTGTAAGTCGCTTTGGATAAAAGTCAGCTAAATGAATAAATGCAAATATATATATATATATATATATATATATATATATATATATATATAATATGTGTATATATATACAACCATAACCGCTCTGATTTAAACTGTGATGTTATCGTCCAGCTCAGTTCAGTTCTTGTATAATAGTGTCAATGCAGGCAGATCAATAATATTGTTGAATATTAAATTAAATAATAAAAAAAAAATGTGTCAAATTTAAAGGACCACTTCATTACTAAAAAAGTACTTATTTCAAGTCATCGCATAACAAATCCTGAAATTCATGTTTATTTAAACTTATTTAAATTTTTAGGCAGAACATATGATTTGAAAATTCAACATTTAAATTAGAAAAGAATGCAAAATAGGAGGGTTTTACACTGTTTAATTAGTCACCGTTATTTATATAGCGCTTTTTGCAATACAAATTGTTTCAAAGCAGCTTTACAGAGATAACAGGAAAATAATTCAGCAGAGTTTGTTTCTGCTCCACAGCAGATCTAGAAAAAAAATACCATCATAGTCCAGCTTAAATAAGTTCAGTGATGGTTTATTTTTGTTGTAAAAAAAAAAGTTATTTATTTAGTACATTTATATATGTTCTGTTTATCTGTTGTGCAGTGTATCATCGAGTCCGTGTCAATAATCGACATCATCTGTGGCGAGGACCCCTCCTATGTGTACCGTGCCTTCCCCTGCATCAAAGCCCTGTACGGCAGACTGAACGGAGACTTCACCTACGCTCGCACCCTGCTGCCTATCGCTCAGTTCTACCTCAACCACAGTGAGTGACGCCCCTGTTAGTGACGGCCTCTGACAGTGTGACCTATGAATGTACGTCAGCATCCATGTGCTCTGTTCTCAGGCGAGACGGCCGCTGTGGACTCTGAGGCTGTGTTCTGCCAGCTCTTCAGCCACTGTCCCACAGAGCAGTTCAACGAGCCCATGCTAGCCTTCGAGTTTGTCCAGTTCTGTCTACTCAATTCCAGCGTGCTGCAGGACAGAGTGCCCAACTACAGACAGAGTTTCCCAAACCTCCTGAAGGTGGGCTGGCTGACTCGCATTTTAAAGTGAATCCAATGAAGTGATATACTAAAACGTTGTGCATTTTGCCTGTCAGTTCTTGGCGTGGAACAGCTCAGGATTAATTGGAGAGTTTGTGGAGCTGCTTCCGTCACTGGTAGCTCCAGATACAGCCATTGAGTTACTGCACACTATCCTTGATCTGCCCTGCTTAGCAGCTGCGCTGGACCTCCAGCAGAGGTGCGTCACTTTACCGACGACAGATCGACGTTTTAACTCAAGTTGTTTGTGATGTGAATTAGTGATGCAATGCTGTTGCAGATCAGCGAGCTATCAGGCTTTGGACCGTACTGCGTGGGACCAGCAGGGGGCGAAGGTGGTTGCTTGTCTGGATGCCTTCCGCCAGCCGTCCTATAGGGGGCTCTTCCTCTACATCCTCAGACCGGAGGCTGGGACCGGAGACACTATAGACAGGTAATACCTGCCACATCACTTATCGAACACAATCTAGGTGCAATTCAGGAATTTAAAATGAGTCGTGTATGTTTTAAAATAATCTTACTATTTAGTGGGGTCTCATATATAGCTTGATATTTAATTTTTTTGTTTTGTTTGTAATTTATCATTTTAATCTGCATATAAATGTCAATTAAATATCAAATAGTCAAGTCACATTTGTTTATATAGCACTTTTTACAAATGCAGATTGTTTCAAAGCAGCTTTACAGAGATAAAAAGTTTGTAAATAGCGTCATAGTCTAGCTTAAAGCTACACTGTGTAACTCTTTTAGTTTATTCTTAGCTAAAAACACTTAGTTCTTTCAAAAATATATGTGCTCATTAATGTATATTTACTTCGTTCAAGTAATTAGTGTATAATATGCCACTGAAAATACATACGGGTAAGGGGTTCTAATGTCGGTCGCCATGTTGCCCCTCCATCTTGAAAGTACATTAGCCAAAGAGGGACATACCCGTTAATTCAAGCTTCGCCTTTCGCGTTTACGTTTGAGTTAACACTCATGGACGAGAAACTGGAAGCCATGTTAATCTTGGACTACATTGGCCGCCGTAGGAGTTAAAACGAAATCGAAATTGAGAGGAACAGAAACTAATATTCACTGGATGGTCATATACCTTTTCACCTCTAGATGGGGGTAAAAATCACACAGTGTAGCTTTAAGTAAGTTTTAAAAAAGGTATTAATTTAGTTCATTTTTATATATATATTTGAGGTAGAATTAAAATGGAATGAAAATAAATGAAAATGAAATATACAGAATTACACTACCGTTTAAAAGTTAGGTTGTGGTAAGATTTTGAAAGATTTTGTCTCTTATGGTTGCATTTATTTGGTCATAAATTTAGTAAAAAACTGTATTATTGTGAAAAATGATTACGGTTTAAAGTTACTGTTTTCTATTTTAATCTATTGTAAAATGTAATTCATTTCTGTGATAAATTGTAAAGTTGACCTTTCAGCATTGTTACTCCAGGCTTTAGTGTCACATGATCCTTCAGAAATCAGTCTAACATGATGATTTGCTGCTCAAAAAAATATCAAATTATTATCAATGTTGAAATTACTTTTGTTGTACTTAATACTGTGCATGTTAATGTTTTTGTGGATTCTTTAATGAATAGAAAGTTCAAAGGAACAAGTAAAAAAAAAACAATTGTAACATTTATCATTGTCATTACTGGTCAATCTAATGTCATTGCTGAATAAAGGTGCTCATTTCTTTTCTTTTTATGTACTTACTGACCACAAACGTTTAAATGGGAGTGTATATTTGATCAAATTTGCGTGTGATTGCTTAATAGGCTAAATCTGCTTCATGAAATTCTGGCTGACATGGCGGAGTGTCCACGGGTCATTCAGTGTGCCCAGGTCGTTCCTGTGCTTCTGCACGTTTACTTCAACACTGTCACTCAGGTAAGAGTCACAAATGAGAGGTCCAGCCATCTAACCCAGATCCTGGTTGTGTCATCGGCCCATGTTTTTTGATTGTTTTACAGAAAGCCGATGAGAAAATGATGAACCAGCTGCTGCTGGTGCTTCTGGAGAGGTGTAGCCTGCTCTTTAACATCAAGACATTTAATGCTGAGGTCCAAAAGTAAGGCACTTACTTAAAAACTTAAACTCTTCCCACCTTCTTGTGAGATTTTGATAACCTGCTGTGTGTGGACATATTGAAATAAAACCTCACAAGTGAATGATTTAAAATACTCTCCCACTTGTGCAAAAGATTTGACTTGAATATGAAATTCTACTCGTATAAGGTCATTGTGCATGAATTATTTGTGATTGTAGAGTGTTCAGCACACACCTGCAGGCTCTGTGCAAACTCCACCCACCACTGATTGTGGATCAGTCCAGGGAGATCCTGGAGTTCGTAAGCATCCCTGCCAACATTTACAGTAAAGAAGACTTTTACACACATGTGGTGAGAAGTAGAGCACTGTGATTGTAAGTGTTGTCATGCTATGCTTGTTCTTCGGGTGACTGTATTTAATGTTTTTCACGCAGGTGTGGGTCATTGGTGAGTTTGTCTCGGTGTCATACGACCCTCGCTGCACGGTGGAACTGATCACCTCTTTTTTTGAGAGTTTGGAGGCGGTGCTGTTTGAGATCACACAGGTGCGACAGTCAGCCAGCCCCCCAGGTTTCTCCCCCCGCCTCATCACGGTTCTCATGACGACCCTTGCTAAACTGGCCACACGCAGTCAGGATCTTATCCCAAGGTACACCATGGCTTTTTCTTTACAAATTCTAATATATATTTAAAAGTTTTCCTGAAGACACAGATGCAGTGTGCAATATAGCTGTTTGTGAATGTAAAAGGTCTGCCTTTCAAAGATCAAAGTGCACGATAACTGGAGTTAACTGCCCACAACGAATCATCAGTAAATCCAGTCTCACTTCCTGCACAAACCTACAAAGGTTTGTAACAAATTTGCATAATGCAAGTCTATGGCCTTCAGCACAATGTCTACTTAGCTGAAATGCAGACGTGGTTTTGGGAGTTTCGTTTCCGACACACGCTGTAAGCGGTAGACCATTCACAACAGACTGGGCCCATCTGACCAATCAGAACAGAGTAGGCTCTCAGAAAGGAGGAGTTTAGAGAGACGTAATATTTTAACTAACCGTTTTTGACACTGTGAGAGAAAGGGTGATGCTATATGTATATATTATATGAAAAAAAAGTTATTTTATACTTGTAAACCTACTGTAGGAGACTAAATTAAGAGCATTAAGAAAAGTATTATGATTCAAGGGCATGATATGTTTTAGCTTACCTCAAGGGCATCCAAGATGTAGGTGTCTTTGTTTCCACAGTATTTTCAATTTTGATATTTTTAGGTCAAACATTGTTGTCTGTCAGTCATATAATGGAGGTATATGGGTCCACCTCAAAGAGCATGCACAGAGAAGTCCAAATTACACATGATTTAATGACTCGTAAATGTAAGTACACATTGATGACCTAAGACATGAAACGAGCGGTTTGTGTGAGAAAACTAACAGTATTTATATCGTTTTTACCTCTTGTAACCACAGCCACGTCCAAGTGATATCTGCGTAAGCGCGCCGGAAAGTGCCGGAAATGATATCTCGCGCATGTACGTCACTCTCAGATTTCAGAAGTGTTATCCTTCACTGTGAAGATCTGAACATATTTATATATACAGGAAATTGCAATGGAAGACGATTTCGATATATATCAACAAACAACGTTGATTTTTTTTTTTTTTTTTTTTTTTTTTTTTTTGCAACCGCGCAAGAGATCACTTCTGGCGCTTTCTGTCGCGCTTGCGCAGATATCACTTGGATGTGGCTGTGGTTACAAGAGGTAAAAACGATATAAATACAGTTTTTTTTCTCACACAAACCACTTGTTTCGTGTCTTAGGCCATCAATGTGTACTTACATTTACGAGTCATTAAATCATGTTTAATTTGGAATTTTCTTTGCACACTCTTTGAGGTGAACCACCCAGGTTTGACCTAAAAATATCAAAATTGAAAATACTGTGGAAACAAAGACACCTACATCTTGGATGCCTTTGAGGTAAGCAAAAACATATCAAAAATTAATTTCAAAGTGAACTATCCCTTTAAGTGTAAAATTATACACTGCCTTGCCAAAATTCACTGTTTGGACATAAAATGTATGCACCTCTTGATGGAAATTTCACAACATTTATTTCCATCAAGAACGTGGTCAAGGAATGAATGAATGAATTAAAAAATCTTCGACCAATATTTCTATATCCCTCACTCTTTCCTTTTCTCTCAGAGTGTCGCTTTTCCTGTCTAAGATGCGGACATTTGCTCGAAGTGGCCCAGTAATGGCGTGCTACAGTGAGGAAGACAGCGAGGAGATCATCACACGAGCCCATGAACTTATTAACCTGCTCAAACTACCAAATGTGGCTCAGTTTGTTCTGGCCCCTTCAGCGGGAGGAGACGGCCCCCGCTGGCACAGAGACACCAACGCCTCACTTCCTCAGGCCATGAGAGCAGTCAGCGGTCTCCTCCACAGGCATTCCAGCTTCCTGCCCACGTGAGCCAATTCTAGGAACTCGTTTTTCAAATAACTGCGCAGAATACCAAGAGAGAGAGTTTCTAAAGGACACAAGAAGGGAGTGAAAGGAAATGTGAGAGACACTGAAGCAAAAAAGACAAGCACTGCACTTCATCATGAATCACAAATATATCAAAACAAACATCAAGACACAAGAGGTTTATGTTTTATTCCTTGATTTATTCAATAGACATTTTTATATTAATCAAACATTCTGTGTTTATTGTCAGATCTATTACTGGCAATTATGATTAATGTCTCAACTGTTAAAATACAGCTTAGATTCAGTTTTGCCCTTTTAATTAAAAATCTATAAAACCAAAGGAATTGATCATATACATTAAATCTGACACCGTCGAAATGTCTACACAATCTAGAAATGATTATTGTCATATTAATGTGACATTATGACAAAATTTGTAAAAATTGTTTTACATTCAAAGTCAAAGTGCTTAAAAACATACTTGGTCACATCTGAGCTTTCTGGCTAAAACCACAGTCAAATTAGAGACTTTGAGCACGTGAAATTTCTTCGGACACTGCAACGGTTGCACAATGATGTCACATTCTGCGCTGTATGTAAAACATAATACGTCAAAAGGGTAAAAATATGCCGTCTGCTCCACTTTACTGCAATGCTGCAATCCTGCAGATTTAAAGTTTGCGCTCTTTTAATTCACCTAAAATGGCTATCAATCTTCTATTTGTCAGAAATCTTCATAATATATGAATTCCAAACTTGAACTTGTCTTTGTTTGAGCTTGCGCTTCCTGCTGTCTCCCGCATTCACGTGTGTGTCAATGGGTGTCAATGGAAGTCAATGGAATGAAAAGTGTAGTGTGTCGAGACGAGGTAAAAAGTTTCAAGAACTGCTGGACATAAGTTATTCATTGAACTGATCGCAGCCGGGAAGACATTAAGAACGACCACACACACAAAAAATATCTGGAAATAAACAATTACATTTGTCTATTAGTGTTAAAAGTGCTGTTTTAGTAGCACCTTTAGGTAAATCTATTTGGGTCTTACTAAAAAGATGCATATAATTCATCAAGGCTAGTTTCAGTGGGAGCTGAATTGACTTCTATTAATTATGATAAATCCAGTTATGCCCTTAAGCTGTCTCACGACCCCAGAGGACCCATTGTGCAACAATTACAACGTCATTTCTAACATTTTTGTTCATAGTTGTTATTACAAGATCACAGTAGTAGAAATACTTCAACATAAATTCTGCTCAATGCCAATAAATTCACGTCTATCTATCATATCAAGTGTTTAAAGGCAGTAGATAGCTCTATTAAAGGACATGGAATGTCTTCTGTATTATACACATTTTGTCTGTAAACATTGACAGTTGAAACAGTACATTATGTCAACAGGTAAAGACTACATCTGTGAAAATAGACTGGCCACTAAGTGCTGAGTTATCAGGGCATATAAAAGTGTATTTTAGAACAGCAGTACTATAACATGCCCATCTATGATTAATATAGAGGGATGCAAAGGCAGCTCGTGATCAAATACATTGTCTTTTATAGCTCAACAAACCCTGTATGTGTGAACACTTCAGGTCTTTAGCATCTGTCACCTGGATATTTTGATTTGGCTGGTCCCCGTTGCATACAAGTACCTCCAGATGGCGTAATAGTGTATGCCTGCCCCCACTGCCACAAAGACATGCCAGATGGCATGAGCGAATGGGATGAGGCCATCACTCTTGAAGAAGACGATTCCCAGGCAGTAGAAGACTCCGCCCACTGACAGCTCTAATATGCCCTCTCTGTTAGGCTGAAATAATACGTTCAGTTTAAACAGGTCACTCTACCGCAGACAAATTACACAAGGATCATTCCACAAAACGCATGCGAATTCTCTCCATGTCTGAAATTTGTTCTTTTCCCACCGTGATGCCATTTTAATATCCACTACTGACAAACAGAACATGGGAAAGTGATAAAAAGGAATTTGAGTGACCTTGAAAAGCAAAATTATGTTATTGTGACAGGTTTATGGTTCATGGAATAGTTACTTTAAAAGGAGGGGAAACGGTGATAAGATGGATGCCCATTTAATACAACTTGAATAATCATAAATACGTTCCTTTGGCTTCAGAACTGGCCTAGATTCAACAAGGTGCTGGAAACATTCCTCAGAGATTTTGGTCACCACAAAACTGTCATAATTACATCAAATTGTATCGCATCTCAAACTCTTAATGTCAAGCAAATGTCTCTTGTTCATTTTATTACTTTATCATGTTTTGTTTGTCAGTAGAGGATGGTATTAAAATGTTAGTAGTAAAACAAGTGCTAATTGAAAAGTGTTCAATTTCAATAGCACCTTGTAGAATCAAAAGGCTTGAAACATAACAAATTATATCCCGTGAACCCTGTTGTCTTGCTGCAAACATATATATTGAAATGCATTCATTTAGATTAAAATGACTTAATCACGTAATTCATTAACACTTAACCATGTTGTTGAAATCTTCCAAAGATTTACTGAATAGGTGCTTTTTAATTGGAAGGCGTCCTGCCTGGTATAGACACTAGGATGCAGCCTTCTGAGGTGCAAGAACTGTAAGTTTAGTAAGTTTCCCCTCCTTCACATTGGGAATGCATTAGAGCCCGACCGATAAAGGATTTTGAAGGCCGATACCGATACAAATATTTTTGGGTTTTAAAATCCGATATTCCGATATATCGGGCGATATTATATTTATTTATTTATTTTTTAAACTAGACATGAAAGTTACAAATTTTGCCATGCTTATTTGAGTTAAGAGAACTGATGGGGATGTTCTTTTAATTGTTATTCAAGCAATGTATGTATTGTGCCCAACTCAACGAGTGTTGCCAACAGGAACGGTATAGAGTTCCCTCTGGTGGACAAACTATACAACTCCAACACTCATGACATGGTTCAAGCGTGTTTCGTCCATTTTTATTTTATTTTTGAAATATTCATTTATCGGCCATTATAACTGCCGATACCGATAGTTTAGAAAATGCCTAATATCGGCCGATAATATCGGTCTGCCGATATATCGGTCTGGCTCTAGAATGCATGCCATGGAGCTTGATGATGTGGCAGCCTAATTATGCATCCGTACTAGGACACAGCCAAGTAAGCCTATTTAATAACTCAGTAACGCTTCCTTTTACAGTACAGTACTTACAGTGTACTTACCTAGAAAGTACTGGCTAATATAAGGTAAGTACATGTAACAGGGGTAGGTTTAGGCTTAGTACTAGTTACTACCCAGTAATTGTAGTTACTAAATAAGTACATAGTACTTACATGGGTAACTGGATTGTAAAATGAATCGTTACCAATAACTCAACGAAAGACATAAATGAAATAAAAAGACCTATTTGTATTTCAAAGTACGGTATACTTTGTTAATATCACTATTGGAAATGTTGTAAAGTATAAATAAGCTGCTTAAAGTATCTCAAAAGCCTTCATTAATGTTTTTATGAACATGTGTACAGGTGTCAGTCACACGTACCATTGACAGAAGAACAACTGCAGGAACAGCTCCCATGGCAGTGTAGCACAGTAAGTCTAGTATCTTGTTCCTGAAACATAACACAGCTGTTTTAAAGATATTCTGATACGGAGTTGTATAATCTGAGAGTGATTATCATCTATGTCCTGAAATAAGAGGGCGCATACTTCTCATGAAAAAAGAAGACATAAGCAGAGCCAGCGCAGGCCATGATCCACACCAGCCAGCGCATGTGGACAGCCCAGGGTCCTAGTTCTCTCAGGTTCAGCCTGCAGTGCACACAACACAACTCATACCTGTGAAGCTGTAACACGTTGATAGTTATGAATATCCAGCAGACGCATACATCTCATACTCACCAGGGTGCATAAGATGCAGCTATAAAGAAATATATCACCATCCTGTCGCACATGTGGAATCGCTGCTCCACCTTCCTGTTGTAGCAAGACATAAGAAAATGTTTTTTTTTTTTTTAAATACTCATTCCATAAAAATCAATCTCGCATCGTTGTGTATCCTTCTGATCCCCAAAGTTTTTAAATAAGTCTCTTATGTTCACCAATGCATCAAAAAGCTGAATTTTTAGCATCACTACTCCAGTCTGCAGTGTCACATGATTCTAATATGATGATTTGCTGCTCAAAAAATGCACTTTATCAATGTTGAAAACAGATGTGCTGCTTAATATTTTTGTGTAAATTCTTTTACAAATTCTTTGATGAATATAAAGTTCAAAAGAACAACATTTATTTGAAATAGAAATCTTTTGTAACATTCTTAATGTCTTGACTGTCACATTTGATAAGTTTAATGTGCACTAAAAAATGCTGGGTTATTTTAACCCAATTTTGGGTAAAATATGGACAAACCCAGCTGTTGGGTTAAATTTATAACTTGCATTTTTTAATCCAACAATTGGGTTTGTCCATATTTGACCCAAAATTGGGTTAAAACAACCCAGCCTTTTTTTAGAGTGTGTCCTTGATGAATAAAAGTATTATTTCTTAGCAACCCTAACAACTGCCAAAACAACATCCTGGCAACATAGAGCCTAATTACATTTGATTAAAAAAGACTTGTATATTGCTTTATTTACAAATCTCTTCCAAATCCATGCGTGTAAAATAAATGCAGGTGACTGTAGTGAAGCATGTTGCAACCCATTTACACAGATTTGAGTCCTGTTCTTGCTTAATGAGACTCTTTGTTATTTTTCCATATGTATAATTTCCATTGGGCAGAGTCATGTGTGAATCACAGATTGATGAAACTGACAGTGGCGAACATGAACTGGCAGGCCCGTGTGAATGCATCTGCTGTTTCAATGTGGATTTATGTGAAACTGCGTAGGTGTCAAAGATCCAAAGTTCATTCATAATGTTTCCATTAAATCTGCATTTAGAGCTGAAACTTCCTCCTGGCACAGAATATGCAAACATTTAGCCTAATAGGTTAAATATTGCACCATTGACATATAAGAAGTTTGTACAATGTTACAGTCTACCATGCTAATGCTAATGTAGCACGAAACTACACTTTATCTGGGAAGAGTCATGATAAGCTGTGACATTAAATCATCAGACATCTGTGTATACTGTATATATACAACGCATTCTCGTCCCAAGGCGTCATATACAACACTTTTGCCAAAGCATAGACATCCAACACACATGCCACCCTTTAGCGTCAAATGAGACGCTTCGGTTATGGTAGGTTTAGGTATGGGGTAGGGTTAAGGTTGCCAATGACCATCTGGATGATCCAGAGGAGGAATGGTTTTCTCGAATGCACTTAATATTATAAAACTTGAAGAGTCTGTAGGTTATTTATATAAGTTGCATAGTAGTTACTACGGAGGCGTATTGCATTCACTTGAAGAAAAAAAATCTACTCTGTTTTTCTGAATTAACGAGTTAATTTTTCATGAGAAAAAAAAATTTGCTCTGTTTTTTCTGAATTAACGAGTTAGTTTTTCATGAGAAATTTTTTTTTTGCTCTGTTTTTCTGAATTAACGAGTTAATTGTTCATGAGAAAAACATTTTTGCTCTGTTTTTCTGAATTAATGAGTTAATTTTTAATGGAATTTTTTTTGCTCTGTTTTTCTGAATTAACGAGTTAATTGTTCATGAGAAAAACATTTTTGCTCTGTTTTTCTGAATTAATGAGTTAATTTTTAATGGAATTTTTTTTGCTCTGTTTTTCTGAATTAATGAGTTAATTCAGAAAAACAGCAAAAATAAATTTTCTCATGAAAAATTAACTCATTAATTCAGAAAAACAGAGCAAAAACTTTTTTCTCAAGAAAAACTAACTAATTAATTCAGAAAAACAGAGCAAAAACTTTTTTCTCATGAAAAATTAACTCATTAATTCAGAAAAACAGAGCAAAAAAATTTTTCTCATCAAAAATTTACTCGTTAATTCAGAAAAACAGAGAAAAAAAAATTTTTCTCATGAAAAATTAACTCATTAATTCAGAAAAACAGAGCAAATTTTTTTTCTCATGAAAAATTAACTTGTTAATTCAGAAAAACAGAGTAGATTTTTTTTCTTCAAGTGAATGCAATACGCCTCCATAAGTTACAGTCATTACGTTCCAGTGTATATTGCGTGAATGACGGGTGATATTGTGTTTTGCGGCAGGTGTTATGCCATACGGAACCGTTGCCACTGCAACTGCATTAACGCACCAGTGGGGCTCGACAGCCTTAGTCAAACGGGTTGGAGCGTATGGTTGGGTTGCGGAGAGATTGTGGATAGGTCTCAGCTGCTGGAGGGATGTAGAGGTCAGTAAGCTGGGCTGAGTTGAGTGGGGGATGGAGGGGGGTGTCTCTGGAATGACAGAGTCACTGTCTTCAAGTTTTTAACATCTACTCTCATGTAATGGAAATCATTATGAACAGCAGATATGCTAATTATTTCCCATTTGCTTTTCTGCTTTTTTGCTTTTATATCTCGGGACGCGAGTCCTGAGGAAAATGGCGTTCGTCAGCTCCAGTTTGTATCCAGCCTCTCACGGAGACTTCAGATGCCCCAACACCTGCGATGAGACGACTAAACGCCTGTGAAGAGACGACTCAACGGCAGTGGTATGTTATGCCCTAAATTATTACATGATTAAAGAGTAACTAAACCCCTGGTCAGAGTCTGACTCCACCCACTTGCAATATTTGAAGAATGCTGAAAAAGTGGGCAGATCCCAGCGGAGATAGAGGGGACGAAATAGATGCTAAAACACTCAATCCTGATCGTTTTCAATACTCGCAATTCCAACTCCTGACTCGCTACAGTGGTTTTGACGAAACAAGCTGGTTTTTATACTGCCAAGGGCGTAGCTCGTGCCAAGAGCATGGTGAGCTGAAACCTGCGCACGTCCGAAGAACCGCTAACATCCAATAGGAAAATTCAACTGCAGTAGCCACCGTTCAACATGATGAGGGCAGCACTAAGACATTTTTACACCATATATTGTAGAAATAAAACACTTCAAACAAATGTCAAAAAATTACTCGAATCAATGACTGGTATTAATAAAGATCCATTCTTACAGATCATTAACTAAAAAAAAGCTGGTTTAGTTACTCATTAACTCAATGTTTTTTTCCATGTACATTTCTGAAATGCACTTTCTGTAAAGCTGCTTTGAAACAATATGTATTGTGAAAAGCGCTATACAGACAGCAATTATTTTATCGGCGGGCAAAGTTTGCACAGAAATGGATTTTTCCCCATCCTCACCGACCTTGTCATAAAACTCATTTAAATGATCATACGACGCCTCCTCGATGCTTTGTCGACTACATGCTGCTTTTTGTTTTTGATGACGCATCCGGCGGTGCGCCACTGGTGGCTGATGTTGCCAGATTGGGTGTTCTTTTGCTACTTATTAAGGCCTGTTTACAGTATATGTGGGTGTGTATGCACATAAATGAAATATTCGTCTTTTGGCAGTTGAATCATTTTTTTTAAATAACAGAAGACAGGAAACTTGCCTAATTAATTAAGCAAATCTGTTTCACATCTATAGGCACTTTATAATGAGCGTGTTTGTTTAGTCATTATTGAATCCCATATGGCAGAAACATGTTAAACAAACTGCACATGCTCCATTTAAAAAACACAAAGTTGACAAATAACATACTTTTTTGTAATTCAAAGATCCTAAGATTTTAGGTTAAAATCAATGTATATGAATGTATTATGGCATATGAATGTAAATGGGAATGTTATGTGCTGCTGCTGAGGTTCTTTCCTTTCTGTTCTGAAATAAAACAGAACTTTATTTGTGGAAAACATTTGAATGTATCAGCAGCCATCATAGCTTTTTAAAACCATAACTGCATCACTGCTCCGTTATGACTCACCTGAGATGGCTTTTCTTCCAGGATACTGTATGGAACATAGTGGACATGATGAAGAGCCCAGACAGACCTGTGCCATACATCCATGCAGAGATGGTCTCCCACTGGTCATCAGAGAGGAAGTACAACACTGAGCTGGCCATGATACTGGGAATGATCCAGAACTGAACAGAAGACAAAATCAGTAATCTTTAGTATTTTCTTGAGTTATTAATGAACAGTTTTTTTATGTGTTATAGCAGTGTTGGAGTCAAGACCAGCTCATTTGAGTTTGAGTCAAGAACCATCCACGTGCTCCTGAGTCCACAACAAGACCAAGACCATAAAAATATGGTCAAGGAGAATGTGGACTGTCCAACATCATTTAAATATGGTGTTGGACCTTTAAATATTCGTCTTTTTGTCTTATTGTGGACTCTGAAGCATAAAGATGGAAAATATGGTCTTGGACTTGAGGGCCAAAACAATGAAAATATGGTATTGAACTTGGACACGAAGACCAAGACCATGTTTTTACAGTCATATATTTTTACAGTCATATATTTTAGTTATATATATATATAAGACCATGAAAAAAATGGTCTTAGACTCTGACTTTAGGACCAAAACCAAGACCAATGCAAAAATGGTGAAACCATCATTGAAAGAACGTTTCAGAATGATTTTATCCAGCTGATGAACAGTAGAAACGTTGACAGCCACTCAGAATCAACCCTGATATAACGAGCTTGAGCATTTAAAGTGACAAACACATGCTTAGAATAAACTAATAAAATAATATCTTTGCTGAACAGGCCTTTAGGCTTATATTTTCTAGGACAAAGACCAAGACCAAAACCATGACCATATAGTCTTGGATTTGAACTCGATGACCAAGACTATTTTTTCATGATCTTGGTCTATGGATTCAGAAGCACGTGGACTCTGACTCAAGACTCTGACTCAACCCTCGACTGGTCTCGAACTACAACGCTATGTTATAGTCATTCCAAAATTACCAAAAATGGCCAAATTACCAAAACAAAGCCAGACGTTATAGGCATTTCTGACAAACACATTACAAAGTCAACAAGCACTTACAGGAAATTTTCATGTCTTGACTTCAGTTTGTATCAGAGAAATAGAGGCGTGATATTCTTGGGCTTTTACAACCACATGTACCAAACGACAATGCACACTGACTGATGCAAAGAGGATTTGGTGAGTGATCAATGTCTCGTGCTGTAGCATGTGAACTGGCCGCGCCAGATGTGCGGCTCAGAGAGGCAGGGATTAGAGAGTAGGAGGTTATCCAAACAACATGTTATCCCAACATGTCCATATAAAACACATGAGCATAAACGAAGACTAGAAGCAAGGCTGCACAGAGAACTGATTCAAACAAATGACAGTATGAAAAAAGCAATGACCTGATGACTGTGGTGATCTTATAGTATTGTTAAATGATTTTGGCCTTGAATATCCATAAAATGTTCTTGTTTGTTGAACAATATTACATCATACAATCTCTGTGGTTTTTCATGACCTTTGTGAACCTTCTGTGTCACATGACAATGGCATCAAAACTTTCCCTCTTGACAACACCCTCTGCTTTTGCCAATATAATACACAGAACCAGAAGTCTTTATGCTAAATGTTAACCAACCCGTCCAGTTTGTGATCTCACACACTGTTAACAAGTACGTTATTTTCATTCAGGTTTCTCTAGATTTTGTTTTGTCCCGCTCTGTGTGAGATAAGAAGTAGATTTCCACTTACTCCATGCGTGGCACAGTTGGCTGCATGCTCATACTCAGTTGGCTGGTATCTCTTGCTAGATGGGACTCGGTTGTTCATAAACCTAAAAAAAGATATTTTAGTGAATTTGAAGTTCTTAAAGGAGTAGTTCACTTTTAAAAAATCTTTTGCTGATAATTTACTCACCCCCATGTCATCCAAGATGACATATTTCTTTCTTCAGGCGAAAAAAATTATGAAAACATTCCAGGATTTTTCTCCATATAATGCACTTCATTAGTAACCAAATGGTTCAAGGTCCAAAAGACACTTTCAGTGCAAATTGCAAACTGTTCAGAGGGCTTTAAACAATTCCAGATGATGAATAAGGGTCTTATCAAGTGAAACGATTGCTCATTTAATAAATAAATAACAAAATTTAAGTTTTATAAGCTCAAATTCTTGTGATGTTTCTGACGCATGTTTGTGACTCTCCTCTTCGAACTCGTTCATCAAAATGAACAAATCTTTTTCCGAGTCAATTTGTTCATTTCGTTCGTTGAATGAACCAAATGACTCGAAAAAAGATTCGTTCATTTTGATGAATGAGTTCGAACAGGAGATTCACAAACGAGCATCACAGAACAGAGCAAGGCGACCATTTGAGCTTATAAAACTTAAACTTTTTTTTTTTTTTTTTAAATGAGCAATCGTTTCGCTTGATAAGTCCTTCGTTTAAAGCCCTTTCAACAGTTTTCAGTTTGCACTGAAACTGTCTTTTGGACCTTGAACCGTTAATTTTGGACCTGAAACCTTAATTTCTTTTCGACAGAAGAAAGAATGACATGGACATCTTGGATGACATGGGGGGGTGAGTAAATTATCAGCAAAAGCTTTTTTTTAAAAGTAAACTAATCCTTTAAATTTTGATTCTGAAGGTTGAAGGTCTTCAGTCTCAATTTTTCGGATGCATTGATTTATCGGATGTTACTCTATAGTAAAAAATAGCTTTTATTTGATATAGAAATCGTTTGTAACATCACACATTTCTTAACTGTCACCCCAATCTTCTTTAACTAACAGAACTGATGGCACAGAAAAAGTGGCACAGTGGTCAAACTCCTTTTCATTTCAGAGATTAATTTGGTCAAAGAAACACATTAAGGATAAAGAGCACGTAATGTTCAGGTTCAAGAGCATTAGGTAACCCTCTTTGTGGCACCTATATATGCATTCAGATCACATTTTTAGACATTTCCTGTGGTTGCCTAGCATCTGTAACTACCGGGGAAGCTAATCCTGTTCGGAATGAGGTCTTTTATGCCACTTACATTGAGCCGCTGATGCATTAGGTGATGATGTCACAGTCTCTATGCCAACCTGAGGCTTGGGATTTTCTTTTTTATTTCCCCCCAAACACTCTTTATCTGTGTGATTTAATTAATGTGCATGAGGACACAGGGAAGTGGGCTAGACTGCTAACCAGAATAAATGAGCCGAGCTCAGCGAGCTCTGGAAAGCATACTTTGCTTCTTAAGTATATTTCTTGATTACAGCGTATTTCTAGCTGTGACCAGATTGATTGTCTTTAGTTGCAGTCTTTTCAAAGATTTTCTGCTACTAAAACATACAGGCTGACTTAAAGGATTGACATCTCTTTTCTGAAACAATTTTATTCTGTTTTCTCTTCATATACATTTTAATGGGAATATTTGCTGTAAAAATGAACAAGAGTGATCCAGGTGTGATGTAGGAACCACATTCACAGTCATATATTTAATAATGCCCGAATGCACCAGAGATGCTTGTTCATGCAGAATTTGCCTCACCAGAGTTATTGGATATATTTAGTGTCACTTTTCATATCACTGCTTTTTTACTATATTCAGGGAAAATATTTACTCAGATGTCAGAGCACTATGGGCATCCTGTTCATTATCATGGATGAGTTCATTAAGTTACTGTTTGGCATCGCTCCAGGTCTCAGCACCCGGTGTGTGTCTCTGCTTGGCCTTTATAAAAGGAATTGCTTTTATATGATGGCATCTGGGACTAAACTGGGAAGCCCAGCCTCATTGAAGCAGTCAGTTACTATAAGACACATACATTGACTTTTTTATAATACACTGTGCAAAAATTATATGATCAATAAGTTGTGGCAACATGTTTTTACATTGCTTTAACTCATCAAAATAAGTTAAGCAATTTTAACCTTTTTTTTGTTATACAACATTTAAAACAATGTTTTAAGTCCGTTTAATATAATTTAAGTTGAAACTACTTAAACATCCAAGTTGAATGTACTTAAAAATTTAAAGGGATACTCCACCATTTTTTTCATATTAACCCTCTGGGGACGGATTGGGCGGTACTGCCCAAAATGACATACTTTTACAAACGTGTTTATCTTAAAAAACTATTCATGATAGAGAGGTGCGGTATTTTTTGCCGTCTTCCTCAGATTCCGCTGAAAACAGCGATTCCCGGCTTGTATACACACCGTCAAAGGCCAATGAAATCGATGTTGTTTGGCAGATTCATGAGCAACAACCAATGGAAAAATTGCTGATGGAGAAATATTTTTCTTACCTAATCAGGGGAATGTTACCATGACATATTCTAGCAAATCGGAGGACTCTGTAGCCTTGCAAGGGGTGGTACGATATAGTAAGGGATATGACGCAAACAGCATCGAGTGGTGGAGGAGACGTCAGAAAGCGAACGGTCGTGTTGAGTATAAACAAGGCTTTACGGAGCGAGAGCGTGCTGAGATTTATATGAGAGAGAGACAGAAGAATTATATACATACAATTATAGCATTATTTATTATTTTATCTCTTTTATAATGGCAAGCAGTAAACGATTTACGGTGGAACAGGCTCTGGAACAATTACTGGAGAGTGACGAGGAGAAAGCATTGCTACGAAAATTCTAAGCCTTCCTAAGAAAAAAGCCTGGGACTATTTGTAAATAAAGTAAGATTTTTCATTGTTCTTTACACATTTTATTTTACAATTACACATGTCTGTCAAGCAAAGGCTTTGACAAATATATTTTTTGTTCAAAAACTGTTCACTATTGTTGTGTGATATGCGATTTTCAGAAATAAATGACAAAAATCGAATTTCCGTTTTTGAAATTCTCTATTATATTGTACATATTTCACTCATACTTCCTTTATAAACACATTACATGTATGCTTATAGCTTAGGGTCTTCTGAATCCATAGATACCAAACACATAGTGTTTTATCTCCATTACATTTATAGGCTAAGCCCAAATGTAAAAATAGAGAAAACGGACCAAAAAGGGCTTAGTCCCCAGAGGGTTAAACTAATATTTAAATAAGTAACTAAATAGGGGAAACGTGGAGGTGTTTGGTCGCTTCTCTGCTTGGCCCCTATTGAATGAACTGAGCTAGTTAAGTGCAATCAAAGTGCCTCGCACACCAGAGACGAGAGAGGTATGTATCAACCCGTCTTAGTTAAGGGTTGCGTCTTAGTTAAATAACATAGTTTAATATGAAAAAATGGTGGAGTATCCCTTTAAGGCAGCAATACTTTTGAAAATATTCTGTCTTCTATTCAATACACCACTCAATCTGGTTCAATTGATTCCCTGACTTGATTTCTGCCCCTTATGAAACTTTAAATGATGTATGACCACAAAATCTGAGATTCAAACAAAGACATGTTTAAATAAGTAATTAATTAATAAGTTATATTTCAAATTCTCAAACTTCTCAGATCCACTCTTAGCAGGAATGTATAAGAACACAGTCAGGAACACACCGTAAGAATATGATAATGCCACACACACCATGAGGGTAAAGGACAATGAGACACGTCAGTGGCCCTTCACTAGAGAAAACGTTCAGAGATTTGGATGTTTACACTTCACAGAGTCTCTACAGCAACATGATACAGTGCTGGTATTGGGTTTGAGCCAAGATGTCTGCTCATGCATAATGTGGGCCTACTTATTAGTTATGGCACCAAACATTGCATTCCAACATTTTCAGGCTGGCCTCAAGTTCTTAATTCTCCATGAACACAGCAAGTGCATTTTGTTGCATAATGCTATACCAAATTGCAATATCAACTTTTTGAAAAAAAAAAATATATATATATATATTGTTGTTTGGAATATTTACCTGCAAGTAATCCAATATTTCAGTCACTATAAAGTTGCTTATGGTCCTGCATATGAGGTTTTGGTCAAACCTCATCCATTATCCTTTCATATTCTCCAGCTTCATGAAGGCCATTTCTTCTATGAGCACAGACAATTATCTGAGTGACTGCGTGTTAACTGCATATGACAGAGGCCAAAATATCCCTCCCAAAAACAAAACATGCACTTAGATGGCCACAATACAAGTCTCTTGTCTCTGAAACAAGGAGGATCCAAACCAAGCAGTCACAAGGGACAAAAATACACACAGTAGGATTCATTTTTACTTATGAGAGGAGACTGAAGGGCACCCTGTGTCTGACCTTTCTGAGAAGACTGAGATGAAAATGATCAGGTGCTGACAGGGTTAGGTTTAACTTTATGACTCACCCGACCTGAGAGTTATCAATTAGGAGGAAACATTGTAACAGTGTTTAACTAAATCATCAGTTTAATTGACAAATGATGTCCTTTTTAGTCTATGCTCTTTGTCGGTGCATACATGAAATAAAGTGGTTCGTTTATGTTACTATATCCTACATATGTTGAGCATTCAGATGCTCAACTGAAATGGTCACATAAAATTAAAGAGGGAACAAAAATATAGCATTTACACAATCCCACAAGTCAAAATCCTCTAGGGGCAAAGATCTCAAAAGGCAAACACAAAGCATGCTTTTGTGTGCCAGGTTTGTGACCTGACATTGACAAATCACACAAAACTATTAACACTGTTTAAATATGTCCCATGTGACAAAATTTCATAATGATGTTCATGTTTTCTGAGAAAACCATGTGACATGACAATGTATGGGTAAACAGAATGATTAATGCCATAATAAAAAGGTTTATTATTAAGCAAATTGGAACTGATTTATGAGGAAAGTGAATAATCATTTTCAGCTCAGATTGAATGTTTATGTTCAGTTTATGTAGCGTGCAGGAAAACATTTTTTTGCCATGAAATTCCATTAAGTAAGAACTTCTTTCAATCTTGAATTTCCATATAATCATTCGATCGCAAAAAGCAATGCAAAGTTGATTCTGTGCTAATATTTAATTTTAATTTAATAAATTGCTGTAGAGCAAATTAATTTCTATATTTTGAGGTCTTGAAGGTCTTGAAAATGTCTTTCATGTTTGTTCAAGGTAAATAAAGCAACAATTTTTCAACAACGGAAGATTATGTAAAAGTTTGGTATTTGGGGTAAAAGGAGCCCATGTTGTTGAGGTAAAAGGCACAATAATTTACATGATAAATAAATAAATATCTGGCTGACTTTTCCATTTACATGACATAGATATCATGTAAAAATATAATAATTAGTTGTACTGTAAAGCTAAATTGTTATGGGATCTCATTCTCAGAATCTTTACTTTTTTAAATAATTTTGTTTATTAAAATGAACATAATTGAATGAACAAAAAATATTATTTTACAATAGTGGATCAAAACAGTTAATCAAACTTTTCCTAAGACAAGAATGGGTATTGTTTAAAATTAATATATAACTTTGTTAAAAGGTTTTGATCCACTTCAAATGTTGACTAAAAGTCTATTTCTTTCAACACTGTCACTGCACTGTAAAAAAAATATTTTCATGATTTGTAATCACAAATTTTTTTCTTTTGTCAAATCAACTTTTTGATTATTTATGTAGTTCAGATAACATAATATTTTGAGTTACTGGTGATTAAATTAATCTCCTTCATTGTATTAACTCAATTTTTCCATTTCAATGAACTTAAAATTTAAGGCAATCAGGTTACTTATTTTTTTTATTTTTTTTTAAACTAAACCAACAATATTTTTTACAGTGTGTATGCCTTTTGCCCCAGGCTGGTGAGCCTTTTACCCTGTGTGTGGGGTAAAAGGCCCCCCTCGCCACCTCATACATGTATAAGATTATTAAACAAACAAACAAACCATTTTATGATTTATTTTCACACAAAATATGTTGCTTCATTACTGTCCAATAAAAACATATACATTTTTTTCTGCAGTCAAAAAGAATAGGAGGAGTGAAAAGTATTTTTCTTAAGGTGTGCTTTTAGCCCTGTTGTATCATGTAGGCATATTCCTCTAAAATTGATGAAATGTTTTGGCACAACATATACAAACAATGAATAAATGAACAATGTGTGTGTGTGTGTGTGTGTGTGTGTGTGTGTGTGTGGTCTGCAGGAAATCCTTACCAAATGCACAACCAAACTTGAAGAAGTGCAGAAATAAAATGAAAGCAGAAGTTGACAGAGCCTCAAGATTTTTCCATGAATAGGCTTCTTCAAACATGTTTGCACTAATGCTTGTAGCCTATACCTCCGTCTCAAACTCTGTTTCACATTGTTTTATAGCCTATTAATAGACAAGTAGCCTATATATAAATATATTGTTGTTATCAGCTTTCATTCTCATTTCATTGGTGCTTTTCTATTATTAACATAGGAGAAAACATAAATAGACTATTTTTTTAAAAAAAAAAGATTCCTCAGCAATATTAATCAAACAATGTTATAAACGTTATGCAGATGTAATTTACCTGCCGAACTTCGTCCTCCTAAAGTCCATACTGTGCATATTTGTACATGTTCGCTGCGTAACTTACTCCAGGGTAGTCAGGGTGACTACTTCCAGTATCAGCGACGACCGAACTCCGGATGTTTCAGAGCCCGTAACTTTGAAGGAAGCAGGAGACAACTGCCTCTACAACAGGCACGTGAAGACTTGAGTCGCTCGGAACGCGTGCGCGAGCAACCGCGAGAAGCGCCTGCAACACGGACCCTATTTTTTTTTTTTTTTTTTTGTGGAATAATCGTAAACAGCGTCTCGAGACCCCTCGCGCTGTCAGGAATGCCACTGTGCGCGCAGGATTCCATCCCCGCCCCTTTGCTTCCTTCAAAGTTAACTTCAAAAAGGCTTCAGGCAAAAGTTTTTCCCATCGCGTGTAATGATGTAGCGGATATTTGCTTTAGAAATGTTTGTTTAGAAATGCGCAAACAAACTAACCTCTCTGAGATTAAACTGTAGCTGTAGGCCTATGCACGCTAATATGTGAACCCTTTTTTCCCAAATAAATAGTATTCCAAAAACATAGAACTAATTGATATATATCTAAATCTAGATATATAAATCTATTTTTGTTCTGTTGTAAAACTGGTCATTTGACATTGACTTTTTTTTTTTTTTTTTACCTGAGTAGGCCTACAGCACATTTTCTCTCGACCCAGTGAGGGTTGGTTGGTACTTATAGTTTCAGTGAACTAGAGACAAAGCGCACGTAGCCATCTGCTGGTTAAATAAAAGTAAGCAACATTTAAATCTGCGTCTCATCCATCATGATTGAGGAGACCACGGCGGATGAGACGCATCGGGTGCTCAAAAAGGGGGCTTAACTTCCAAAGACTTCCAATTTTCAAAATGGGACAAACCAATTACAAATAAAATAAGCTTAAAAAAAAAAAAAAAGATATTTCTTGTTTTAACCCAAGCATGACATGAAATCATTGTAAGAGAAATATACATTTTTGGAACCGTTCCTGTCCTCTCCTCATGGTCATCCGCCAATAATCAAATAGGAAATAATTGCAGATAGGACCAGAAATTGGGTCAACTCAATGGTGTCAATTATGTCAACTCGCGTAATTACAACTTTGTAACATCTAACAGTGATAACTTACTTGTAAAAATCTATTCTGTATTCACATATTATGCTTTGTTTACTCAGAAAACCCAAGTTAAGTGATGGTTTAATATAAACTAATTTATTATTTAATTTAATACAATTTAATATGAATGGTAAAATATAACTATTTCATGTCAACTAATGATCTTTTACAATTTTGTTGCTAACACTTAAACACCTTGTGAAACTTAACTACAATTTGTCAAACTATAAAAGTAAAATATCAAATGCTCATACATTTATTTTTTAGTTAGGCTACTCCTGTGTAAGTGAACTAAGCATTTGCCAGCACCACATACTATTCCTTTTTCACTTTACTTTTTTTTTTTTTAAGGCAATCTGTTTGCATGCTTTTTTTAAAAAAAAAGTAAGTCTAACTAATTCTATTTTACAGTGAATGGCTGTGACCACTGACTGACTTACACTGGGTGTGCTGATGCTATTCAAATCAACACTTTTTGACTCTGGTAAATTAACACCACAAAAACACTCTAAATGACACATTTAGCTGTGGACAAAATGAAGAACATTTTAAGGAAAAGTTTGCATATGCATTATATGTTTTGTATTATATTTGATAAATCAGGATTTTGTGGCCCATATTGCTCACATCAGAGGAGGTAAAAAAAAAAAAAAAAAAAAAAAAAAAAAAAAAAAAACAGTTTTATTCAGAGGCCCAAACTGAGCAAAAAATATTGTCATAGTAGTAAGATTAAAGTGTTGGGAGTAACGCATTACAAAAGTAATACATTACAGTAACATATTAGTTTTTGCTGTAACGCAGTAGTGTAAGGCATTACTAATCATTTTTCAGTAATATTTTACTCGTTACATGTTCAGTGAGGCTTGTATTACACTTGTATTACAGTGTATTGTCTGCTTTTACTTCTTAAAGGCAACAGACTGTGTGAAAGTTTTAAAGCAGTCTTTTAGTGCCAGTTCAGAGCGGTCGCGTCTGTAACATTGTTTTTTCCTCATAAATGCGAACACGAAAACTAAAATAAAATGAATATTTTAAGTTCTATGGAGACTGGAGAGCCAACCCTTCCTCATCCGATTTGCGCAGTGTAATTAACAGAATTACAAAAAATATATTTTGCCTCCTATTTTTTTGTCACGCATGAATGTGTGTCTTTTCCCTAATATTAAAAATAAAACAGACTGATATTTGTCTAATGTCTGGAGTCATTTAAGGAAGTAGCCTATATACGTTTCAATACATGTATTTTCTGAGATTTTTTATTTCAAGTTTTGACTGCAAATGTCATGTCCATAATGCTGGACCCAATTTTAAATAATTTATCCTCAACTAGTTTTGTGGTGTAGGTCTACGTATTTTATAATGTTAACTTCAAATAATACTAATAGCCTAATTTAAAGATAAGGCAGCATTGGATCTGGAGGGTAAGGAGAATAACGCTGGGAGTTGGAAGAGGTGTGTCGCGATTCTGTAGGTTCGTGGATCTGAGTCGTGTGGCGAATCGCGATTTCGGTTTCATATTGCATATCGTTACAGCCCCAAAGTTAAGTTCTACTTAGTTATTTTGGTGAAAGTAACTCAAAAGTAATACATGAGTAATATAACGCATTACAATTCTGAAACAGTAATATTGTAAGGTAATGAATTACTTTTAAATAACAGTAACAAGTAATACCTAATGTATTACAGTTTGGAAGTAACTTGCACAACACTGAATTTAAATGCTTAGTTAAAGCTCTGTAGTTTTTGATGATTGAAAAATACAAATAGCTAAACTTTTCTCTAAAGCCTAATGTGCCATATTTACTTACATTTTACCATTATTTTTTCTAAAAAAAAAAAATCATGTGGATATTTAAGTAAACCTAAGTTTCTTTAGTCCAATGTTCATATTAAAATATTAACAACAATATAAAAGTTATTCTACAACCTAGAATATTCATTCTACAACCATTTTTTTAACTAAAAGGCCTTTCACTTATCAATCAGAGTGCACCATTTATTTCAGCAAAGTTTTATTTAAAAATAATTGGAGGCCTTAGAAATTCATTGGTGTCAAAAAAACACTGTTCCCTGAAAGCAAGTTAAGTCAAAGTAAGCTTGACCAAGATGACCCATTACCTTAATTTACAACTAGAAATGTTAAAAGAGCTTTAAAAATCTATTTGTAAACTGACATTTAGTCCCTTTCAACAAGTTGGCTGTGGCTGTGTAGCCTCCTACGGACAAGTGTTGCAAATAAGCAGTTTTTGCTTTAACGCTAAAAACAATCTGGTTTGTTCAATGCTGTTGTTATGCCCATATCAAATAAAGATCAAACATTTTTTCCCAAAAAGTTCTACTGAAGAACACCCAGTTGTGTGTTTATTTAAAAAAAAATAGTTGTGTATTCACATTTAGGTGGTCGTTTGGGTATACGTTATGCAAAGCATTTGGAAAAAAAACATTGCTTTTCCTTTAATTTGGACGGAGTATTAAAAAAAACATTGCCTTTCCCTTTAATTTGGACGACACTGGTGCGTGCAACAGCCACTGCGCATGCGCACGAAAAGGTGCAACAGTGGCTGGAGAAAAACAACAACATTCATTGGAACAAGAGGGTGGAACTTATGGCAGTGCGAGACGACCCCAGATTTCACTGATCTAGTCCACATTTGAGCCCCTTTTACTTCGGCTTTATCTGTAAATGTTGTCGAGCCCATGAACCTGGCCAGTCAGAGCGGAGAGGCCGGCTGCAGCCAGCTGCTCTTCGCCAACTTTAACCAGGATAACACGTAAGAAAACAATCACACCACTGCTGCTGGCCTAACAGCCCATCTACACGAAAACAACACAATGTTGTCGGTGTAATCAAAGAATAATTTGCACTGCAGTCGCGCGAAGCTTCGTTCGTTATAATTGCAGGCAGCGCCTTTATCGGTGTCGTGTCTCGTCGCTCGCGTGCAGTGCAGACATAGGGTGACAAAGCGTGCTGCTAACCAGCTAAAACACTGACTGCTATTATTTCCCTCTGTCGGTTAGAATAAGTTGGTGCCCAACAGTTTCCCCTGATGTGGTAATGGCGCTTTGCTTTAATTAAATCAGTCCCCAATTCTGCGCTTGTAAAATAACGTCAGACAAAAATTCACGCACGAGACATGTAGCACTAGCGTCCATGCTAACAAAAAATGATGTATTTGTACTTCTGCAAAGCTTTACGCTCGCCTAACGGTGTGAAATATTTAAATTCTTAATGTAAAACAAAGTTTGGTTGGAATATCGTATTTAGGAAGTGATAAATAGAGCTGTTAGCTGTGTTTTCCAAACTAGGACGACACAGCAAAAGTAGCTCAAATGTTAACAACAATCGAGTAACGTAACTTAAATGCCTTCAAAATAACCTTTGATTCTGAGGGTGTTTTTTTTTATGTCAGATAGATCATTTTATTATTTTTAAACGCCATTCGTCTAATTTTCTAAATCATGTAAGTTAACCAGCTGACAAGTTAGTCAAAGCTTATTGTTTAGACAACACTGCCAGTGTTTTTATAAGCTATAACAGCTGCTACATTTCAACTTTACAGAACATATAAAACACTAACGTTACTCTAAAATAGTTTAATGTCTCCAGCCTTTTATATTCAAACATTGCACCACAAGGATTGCAAAATGCCCCTTTAACACATTTCACCATCATGTCAACAACCTGTTTTAGTCATCAAGCAAACCAGTAGACCATAAAAAGTGGATTTGTGTACTGTAGCAATTGATTATTGTTACCTCTTTGCTTTCCAGATCCCTAGCTGTTGGTACCAAGTCTGGGTACAAGTTTTTCTCCTTGTCATCAGTAGACAAATTGGAACAGATCTATGAATGTAGTAAGTTATTTGAGTTTTAATCACTGACAGCATGGCTACTCATGCCTTTTGGCGTGATATGAGTGGGGGATTGAAGGGGCTGATGATGTATTTCTGCTCTCTCTTAAGGTCAGAGATAATCAGAGGCGTAGAAACTATTTGAAAAGTGGGAGTCCTTGAAAATGATAAAAATGAATAGTTCTGGTCCTGGGTGCTGAATGTGCTCAGATGTGCTGAAATTGTATCCATAGAGGCCAACTATTAACCTGATTTTTAGATGTCATGGACCATATATATCTTATACCGCAATTATGGCACTTCATCAATTTGCTTAATAAAATATTATTGTACATTTAAAAAAAAGTAAATAATTAATGGCTAAATCCAGAATAAAGCTTGTCTTCATGACTGTTGTGGTTTAATCTTTAAAAAGTAATGGCCCTGGATGTAGTCTTTTCAAAGCAGCCAGTCAGAAATCGTTAGTTATGATACGCCCTTGGAATCTAATGTTTTTCAACATTGGGGCCTCAGCAACTCTTACTCAAAGACAAAGTACTTGAATAAGTACATACGACATGTTTTATTTTCTTGTGTATTTGTCCTCAGCCGACACAGAAGATGTGTGCATCGTGGAGAGATTGTTCTCCAGCAGCCTTGTCGCTATTGTCAGCCTTAAGGCACCTAGGAAGCTGAAGGTCTGTCATTTCAAGAAAGGGACAGAGATATGCAACTACAGCTACTCAAACACTATACTGGCTGTGAAACTAAACAGACAGGTGAGTCAGCAGACGCCCTCTTCCTGTGATGCATGTTTCCTGTATTGTATTTATTTTATTAAGCGTGATCAGACTATCTGAGAATGTTGCAAACCTGCTTTATTTCCACAGAGATTGATAGTGTGTTTAGAGGAGTCACTATACATCCACAACATTAGGGATATGAAAGTACTACATACCATTCGAGAGACCCCTCCGAATCCTTCCGGTGGGTAACGCTGCTTGCCGTCAGTACATCATTGTTGTTTAATACCAGACTTTTCATGTGGAAGTACATGCTGCAGGTTCTTCTTTCATAATGTCTAGGTGCTTTATTTATATTTGGGGAACTGAAAACGTTGGGAAATTATGTTGTGACCAGATAGTAATGGCCTTGTTGTTATAACAATTCGTTGTTGCCATACAGATTTTTAATTTGTGATTATTAATATGTCACTAAACATCTATAGGACTATGTGCCCTGTCAATCAGTAATGACAACTGCTACTTGGCCTATCCGGGAAGTGCAACAATTGGGGAGGTACAAGTTTTTGATACGGTCAACCTGGTAAGTGCTATTTAGTTTAATGATTTGCAATGATTATGGTTTTAAGGGATTGTGTTAAACGCAGTTTGTCAATCTATGTGTAATATTCATCCCCAGAGGGCAGCTAACATGATCCCTGCCCATGATAGCCCACTAGCAGCACTGGCGTTTGATGCAAGCGGGACTAAATTGGCCACAGCCTCTGAGAAGGTACAGCTTTGAGTGTGTGTGTGTGTGTGTGTGTGTGTGCGAGTTTGGCTATACTTGTGAGGGCCAAATGTCCAAATATAGTAGCCTGGCTAACGCCAGACCCAATTCTCATTGAGACTTGGGTCTGGGAACCACATGCACAATTTCTCGTATTTGAGGCGTGGTTTACGAATGCCCGGCGCCGTTTATTGGGTGTTAAGAATGTCTATCAAATGCGCCTGTACGTAGCTCATAGCCAATCGTTTCAATTAGAAAAACACACGTATTAAGTACAGTCTAACATAGATGTTGAAGTTGTTATTTGCATTGGAAATTGTTTGCGCTTGTACTTCACAAGTTAAAAAAATTTTTTTATTTAATGACTAAAGTCAACAACTTTAATCGGGTACGTGTGCACAGCTGAAAGTTATGCTACTAAAGCGGTAGCTGTATATTGATATTGCAAAGCAACACATCTTAGTGGCACTGTGACAACCACAGTAGGTAGTCTACAGGCATAATGACAATATGATATTAATAAATACCACTTACCATTTATAAGTCAAATGGACTTCGTCGACGACGGACCAGGTTGGTACTATACAACTCCGTGGCTAATATGTCTTTGCGCTCATCCAGGCCTCGGGACTGCCGAACAGAAGTTGGTCAACAATATATATTGCATTTTCTTTCTCGGGACACAGCTGAGCGGCAGATATTCCAAGGTTGACCGCCTCCTGTTCCTGGTCCTCCATTAGGGCGATTAATGGCGAGACAACAATAACGACTGGGTTCTCGCGAAGTTTAACGGCAAAAGCGGCTCTTTTTTCAAAATAAACTTGCATTCTAAACTACTTGGAACAATATTTAAGGCTGCATCAAAAGGTAGCTTCGCGTCTGCTGCCATGTTGAAGATATAAACAAACTGCGGTGTGTGGCATAGATGTCGTCATCGTCTTGCTGCTCCCTCCCCGTTCTGTGATTGGTTCCCTAAATGAGGCGAAAACCTGGGCCATGGTATCCATACTGCCTTTCAGCGTTAATTAAATCGCGCTGCGGGCTACAAATATAGTGGAATATCATTACAACTGATTAGTAATGACATTGAACTGGTCCTTACTAGCTAAAAAGGCGTATAAGTTGGCCAAAACTTGTTGTTTTTTTATCCAAATCTAGTGTTTTTCACCTTTCTGGGATGGGTAGGCGTAGGAGTAGAGGTTGGGTTAGTTGATAGAAAATATCATTAACCTGATAAAAAATCAATGGAAGTCTATTCAATGTCCCCATTTAATATAGTGATACAAATTTGTGTTTTAAAACACTTGTTAAGAGTGTATTTAAAGTGGGCGATATACCAGTTTTCACATTATTCACTTGAAAATTAATTCAGTGAATCAATTCCAAACTCTGAACTATTTGTTTGCTTTATCAATCGTAAATGTTCATTGTTCACAGAATTCTTCATTATCAAAAAAAAAAAAAAAATGTAAAAAATCTATGAAGGTAACTATTGGTCTTTAATACTGTGTTATGGTTAATAGTTCAAGTAAAAGATTAAATGTCATTCTTTCATTGAGATTAACTAACTGTTTTCTATTTTATTTATTCAATTCGATTTATTCCTGTAATGCAGAGCTGCATTTTCAGGATCATTACTCCAGTCAAATTATTATAATATGCTGATTTGCTGCTCAAGAAACATTTATTATTATTATTATTATTATTGTTGTTGAAAACAGTTTTACTGCTTAGAACAATTATTTGAAGTATTTTGTAACATTATAAATGTCTTTAATGTCACTTTTGGGCAATTTGCTTCCTTGCTGAATAAAAGATTTAATTAATTTAAAAACAAATCTGACTGAATAGTAGTGCTTTCAATATAGTCCATTGTTACATTGTTACACCTTCAGTATTTAAATGAGCTGAATAATGAATTAAGAGTTAACCTTAATTAGTTTAATTTTTCAATCCCTCTCTTTGGTGTTTTTTTAGGGAACCGTGATCCGTGTGTTCTGCATTCCAGAGGGCCAAAAGATCTTTGAGTTCAGGAGGGGAGTAAAGAGGTAGTTAACTATATTCTTCAATCTGTTTTGTATTTATTCAAATAGCCAGGAAATGTGATAAGCACACATAATGAAAACAATGCACTTACTGTAATAATTATCCCTCAACAGATGTGTGAGCATCTGTTCCCTCGCCTTCAGTATGGACGGACTCTATCTGTCTGCCTCAAGCAACACCGAGACAGTTCATATTTTTAAGCTGGAGACCCAGAGAGAGAAGTCAGTGTAATAAGGCCCACTGAAATAAGTGTTTGGGTTTTTTTTCAGACGACCTTCTCACTTCTTTCTGTGAATTTGTACATCCTTCTTTTTTATTGATAAAATCCTGTTAGAGCATGATTTAAGCATGCATTATGGGCACATATTTCATTTTTATTTTGCAACCATGTTGTCATTTTCAAACTCATATAGGCCTCAGGAGGAGCCCACTACTTGGACGGGATACTTTGGGAAAGTATTGATGGCCTCTACAACATACCTGCCTGCACACGTAACAGAGATGTTCACTCAAGGAAGGGCGTTTGCTACAGTCAGACTGCCCTTTTCAGGTCACAAGAACATCTGCGCTCTGGCCATGTGAGAAAAAACATTCTGAAATAGCACACCAGACCTAAGTTTTTAATACAATCTAGACATGCTTTCAGACTGGTTGCTATCTAGGTCTCTGGTTATCTTGCTTGTGATTGGTTTCTAGAATCCAGAAGATTCCACGCCTGCTGGTGGCTGCAGCCGATGGCTATCTTTACCTGTACAATCTGGACCCACAGGAGGGAGGAGAGTGCACACTAATGAAACAGCATAAGTGAGATCCAGTGTTATCAGGTTGAAACATAATCTATCAGACCATTGGTCTAAATATACACTACAGTTTAAAAACTTTGGGGTCGGTAAGATTTTAAAACGTTTTTTGAAAGAAGTCTCCTTTGCTCACCAAGGCTGCATTTATTTCATCAAAAATACAGTAAAAGTATTTTGATATATTACGATTGAGATAAAAAAAATTTTTATTTAAATATATTTTAAAATGTAATTTATTCCTGTGATGTCAATGATGAATTTTCAGCATCATTACTCCAGTCTTCTGTTACGTGATCCTTCAGAAATCATAATAATATGCTGATGTGCTGCTTAGAAACATTTTTGATTGTTATCAAAAGTTGTACTGCTTAAAGCTGCACCCCGCAGTTTTTGCTCTTTGTCGCCTTCTCTGTTCGAAATCTGCAATTGCAGTCATTCGCGGAATTATCAACTTTACGTGTTTTGTACTTCGACACCCTTGACACGGCACAGCGTGGATGAACACAATGTTTGAGGAGAGTGTGAGTCTTGTCAGTCACTGCGCCGGTGTCGATACTGACATTCAAAATCATAGATTATTCTTTTTGGAAGTATGACCAACATAATTAATTTACTGGAAAATGTAATCTTTACAAGTAACACCCACTTTTGTTCTGGTTCTGACCAACTGGAAAAAAATCATGCAGTAAATCACGCTGACAACTTAAATCTAACAATCGCGTATAAGTTATCATATCACGTACAACCGTGCAAATTACACTTTGTTCTTAAATTGTTAATGTTAAAAAAGTCAGCATTGCGTGACGACATGTAATATCCTTCCAAAATGTATCGGACAATAACACTATGACAAAAACAATAACACTATTACAAAAGTGTTATTGTTTTTGCATGGGTCCGGTTGCGGTCTCTTTTTCACATTTCGAAGTCCGAACGAAGTCTTTTGCGTTTTGCAGCGGGTGAATCTGTTGTCACTGGTGATTTGTCGTTTGAACCTTTCTGGATCAAATTGAAAAGTTTAATTATATCAAGAGCTGTGAGAAAAGGCTATAAATATCCACCTCCAACATCTGCACATGCAATATAGACTCCTTCTTTATGTGTACAGATGTGACGTAATGACTCAATATAGATTATACTAGCCGAGACTCTACTTTGTGTTCAGATGTGACGTAATGACGCAAAGACGTGCTCGAATCTCCTGCAGAAATCCACCAGTACCACTGGAATTAAAAACATTATTACAAGCTTAACTTTTTGTTTTTGCATATATTGCAGATATTCCAATTACAGTCTCTAAATTAAAAAATAGCTTATATTGATACTGATCGGTCAATGTGAATTATGAATTGTCATGTGAACACATTAACCCCCTATGTTAATGTGTTTCCTACTTAAGGTTAGATGGAAGTGTAGAGCCAGCGAATGAAATTCTTGATCAGACCACTCACGACCGGCCACTCGTGGCACAGACCTACAGTGCTGCTGTTGCCAAAGGTAAGAAACTTTCATTTTCTTTTACATAACTGTGTAGAGGGGGAACAAACAAGGGGATAATCCATCAGCCGGAAACTGAAGCTTCATCTGGGGGCCACCATTGGCCTTCACCTGCAGTTAGCATTCCATTGACTCCCATTAATTTTGGCGTCACTTTGACAGCAAACAACTTTACATCTGAGGGCTTTAAAGACTCCGTTTGTCCATTGTGAAACACGACAATGTATAAAAGGCTCCATTACCTTGTATCTTACGTTATGGTCCCGTAGAATCAGTTTTTGTACAAATAGGCTAACGATTGCGTCATAAAGGCCTGTTTACGCGCGATATGCGTCGACGTTTAATGCCTCGTGATTAAACAATGGGCGCCAATATGAGTGTTAACACCGACGCGAAAAACGCCACGCGTAAAAGCGTGATTTTTAAAAAAAAACGCCTCGGGTTAGTTTTTTTGGTTTGACGCGTTGCGTAAAAACCTATCCGACCAATGAGATTGGCGAGTTTGCTCACGTGTCTGGTACTTCTGAAGTGAAGTAAAACACAACTTGTCTTGCCGAGCACACATATGGCGAAGAAGAGACAGCGTACAAGGCAAGATAACTATGGGCAAGATGAATGTTGAGCTGCTGGTCTCGGAGCATAAAGAGCTATATGATCATATTTATATTAGTATTTCTGTAATAATAGTATAGTATAGGGTGACCAACAGTCCTGTTTTCCCGGGACATGTGTAAAACGGTCACTTTGTGCTTTATAGAAATCTGAGTTGAGATAGAACTGCGCATATAGTGTGCGTAATGTCAGTTAGATTTTGACAAGTGAGGAGAGGAGATAACCGCTCTGCCGACTCTTTGTATTCTTTCTTTTATTTTATTTTTCTATTGTGACCAGATGTTTGTTTGTGTGTTTTTTTCTCGCTCGATCCCCATTTAGGCTATGAGGATGAGTGTAATGTTTGAGTGGTTTTATTAAACGCGAGGAAATACGACAACTCTCGTCTTTCGTGCATCTGTTCATCCGACAACTAGTGCTATGTTTTTATCTCTGGGCAACATCTCAACTTTGCGTTACACATGCCCTGTTTCCACGTCCTGTCCTGGCTGTTTTTAAGTGATGAAAATGTCCTGGTTTTCAAAAAAACTGCTGGGAAAGATCAGTTCTACAGTAAAATATAGATGGGCAAACAAGGTGGATGAGGAAGAAAAACAGGATAAAGAGGATGAAAACTAAAGATATAAATAGATTTTGTTAGTTCATTTTTGTAAGTTTGTGAGAGCTATTTTTTGTTGCATTTGGAGGCATTTCTTTTAGTTATTTATTATTTATATATTTATTTTTCTAATACAGAAGACATTATTTCTATCATTATTTCATTCGTTTTTTTTTTTAATCTGTCATAATAAAACATTGAGACATGAATATGATCACCCTAGTATAGTATTCTATTATTATTTCTGTTTTACATTAAGCGCCATCTAATGTCAGGGAATGAATTTGCATGTTCATTCGGCTCATCGTCAGCGAAAAACGCTTGGGTGTGAACACAAAAAACGTGTTGAAAAACGCTGACAAAAAACGCGCGCCTTAACACGTGACTCTGTCGCACAGTTGAGAAATTACCGTATAGACAGGATTCGGTAGTGCAATCGGGGTGACGTGGAGGCATAAAGTCCGACAAAGTCGAAGGAGAAGCCCATAGACAGTCATAAAGTTGCTGCTGCTCATGGACAGCTCATACTCACAATCTCCAGCTCTGCAAGATTTGGTAGGGAATGATTCAGATTCCTCTTGACACAGCTACTAGAAGACGTACAGGTTGCTCACGTCACATCTACATCGTCAAGCTCAGTTTGAGGCCATCAGGAAGTGAGTGCTTGTAATAGACTTCATTTTTCTCGGTTTAGGGCTGCGTTCCAGTCCAAAATTGTCATGCCCTTCACTCGCTAACTTCCCTCCATCTCGTTCACTCAGATGTGCTGGCGGAAACTGCATTGGGCAAGTGGAACGTCCTAAGCCCTTGATCACTTGGAATCAGCTATGGAGTTTATTTATTATTTAGAATTATTATTTTTTTCCCTTTAAGAATTTGTTTAATGCAGCATATGCGGCATAGAGTTGTTTTTGGTGATGATGATTAGACGAGATGCGGTGACATCACAATCGTGTTGCATTATATGGAACTGCTTGAAGTGTACATGTGAAGTAGACTCGCTTGGTCAAAATCGAGGGAACGAGGGTCTTACCATATAAACTTCCCTCGTCCACTTCATGAAGTGGAACGCACTTCAAAATGGCATCAGGGATTCCCCCGAGCGGAAGTGCTTAGGGAAGTTGGCAAGTGCATGTCTAAAAGTGGACTGGAACGCAGGCAAAGTCAATGGGGCCGCTGTGTCCATTTCTTTCACCGTCTATGGGAACAAAGAGTCTAAATTTTAAAATGGCCTGGTATTGTTTTGGTTGTCTCAGGTTACACTGAGGATCAGGGGGCAGTCGGGGGCGCTGGAGTAGAGGACGACATGAACACCTTGCACCTGGACGAAGAGAACGATCAGCCTCCGTTAATCCTGGAAACGGACTGAGCCACTGGCAGAAGATGGAACTGACTGAGTGACATTGCAGAGCGGGGTTTCCTCCTCTGGTGCTGCTATGGGCATGTGTGACCTGATAGAGAAAGGGATTAAAACGGAGATCATTTTAAAGCAAGCCTAGCTGTAGCCTTATTCTGTCTCTTGTTGCGTAGATGTTTCCCTTCTCCCACCCTTGTGGCTTTATAAAACTTGTGAATTTTTCGTTGATTTCCTTTTTTTTTTTAATGCCAGGTTTTGTCCTTAATCAGACCAAAATATGAAATCCAAGCTGCAGGTTTCACATCTCTTAGCTTTGCATGTACTTGTGCCAAGAATAGAAATCCTAGAAAACTTTTGCTTCCATGTGGATGGTTCTGATGTGTTTGCTGGCTATTTCTCCTCATGAACTGTGACGAGCACTCGTGTGGTTGTGCATTTGTGTCTTTTTCAAATGTGATTGAAAGCGAACTGGCTTGCGCCGCCTGCTACGTCACCACACAACTGTTCAGTGTCTGCGATATCCCTTACCAATCATCTGTGGCTCAGTGGCACCGGGATGTGAATTTGTGTCCTGTATTAACAATATACACGATCTGTTAACAACATGATCTGGTTACAATAACTGTTTTTTTACAGTGTTTTTAACTGGCTTAGAGGGTGGATTTTAGTTTTACCCTGAATTACTCCATCTGTAAGTGCACATGCTTTACAAGACTCTATTTTGATTAATCCCATGCCACATTATGGTTAAACAATTTGGCAGTGGTGGAGACCTCTTTTTGGTTTTGAATTAGCCCTAGTGTCTTCCTTTGGCCTGGACCGATTTCATTGAAGATTTTTTATTATTTTAAGTTCCAAACATTTAAGTAACCTCAGTAGTACATACGACTGATGAAGGTGTTTATTGTATTGGTTTCAGAGGGAACTTTCCAGTGATGGATGTGGTTTCAAGAGACTGGCTGTCAGTCATCTTGTTTCCAGAATATTTTGTTTTATTCTTAATGAATGATGAAAGTTCAAGGCCCTGTCTCTTTGATTAATTCTCAATACCAGCATCGGACGATTTCTTATGACGTGGCAGAGCCTCGTTTTAGGTAGGTTGCAATTTTGAGGGCCTTGTCCTTTGCAAAGACGGAAAGCATAATATATCTCACTAAAAATATCTTAATCGTTAGTAACTGGTTGCAGCATTCAGCTCGCAAACAGGGAGTGTTCTCACAGATTTCCCTGTGGACTGCAGTCTGAAGTTAAACCAGGACAGGTCAAATGTAAAATCTGAAGTTCTACTGAAAAATTAGAGGACCAGGGTTTATGAATGTGATTACCAAATATTTACAATACACAAAGTTAGCCAGTGTGTCCAAGCAAACAATAAAGGCTTATGGAGATACTGCCTGAATACTTGGAGCTCTAAAGGATCCTGAGATCATTTTTATGCATGATTGTCTCCTGAGCATGTTTTGATGTTGCATATCAACAAATGTCAACGTCAGTCATCATCAGCCAATGAGCTCTAAACTCCCCCAATGCCACTTTAATCTGTTTTCTAATGATTTTTGTATAAAAATGTAAATTGTTCCATATAAAGATTAAATAAATCCTCTGTTGAAAATGTTTTAGGGTCTTAAATTCAATTTAGAGAGTGGTGTTATGTTCCTTATACACAAGTATTGGATTAACACAGGAACGCATGTTAAACTCCCAAGTAGTCAAATTCACTTTATTGGTTTCGACGGCTGTTTATTAAAATCCAATGCAAGGTACCTGCACTAATCAAAGAAAAGCAATCTATGACCAGCATATCAATTCAGACAAATTCTATGTTTGGTTCATCCAGAACCAGTTTCTTGAATCATCATCAGTATAAAATCCTTAAACCTCTTACACTTCAAAACATAATCTTGTAAAAACGTTCACACACAGCTGCATTAAAAAGGATTAGCCTATTAAAAAGCAAGCAATTTGAATCTCAGACATTTTGTTGAAGGAGAGTCTTCTGTGTCTAGACAATCTTGAGATCTTTCATTGCAGATTCAAGGGTCTGAAACAGAATTACAAAGAATTAGTTATCTATATGCACATTTGCATTTTGACCACTGCTTACCAACTAAATAATGATTATGAAATGCACAAACAAGTTTTACCTTTACATCCCAAATAGCCATGCCTCCATCCATACCAGTGGTGCAGAATTTGGCACACTTGGCTTTTCCACCATTAAGGATTGAGATTTGGCTAAGAAGTGAACAACAACACAGCAAAATGTATTAATAGATCTAGGACTATAAATGTATAGTTGTAGGTGCATGTTTGATATATGAAGTGTGTAATTCAGTGTCACTAGTTGCATCAAATCCTGAGCAGGGCATTTCAACTTCTGCTTAATCAATCTGCTCACATTACTTACACAGATTTACAATTTGTTGGAATTTAATAACCGGATTGATTGTTGCAGGGATCATAGATATGTATACGGACATTTTTGCAGGCCAAAACCCGGAAACTAGTTAACATTTTTTTAGCACTTCCTGGGTTTTATCGTCCTTAAGTCAATAGGGTTTTTAGAATGGGATTTTGGTCAAATGCCTGAATTAAGGTCTGAAGTTAACACAGGTTGTTAAAGGAATAGTTCACTTTAAAAAAATACTTTTGCTGATAATTTACTCACCCCCATGTCATCCAAGATGTCCATGTCTTTCTTTCTTCAGTTGAAAAGAAATTAAGGTTTTTGATGAAAACGTTCCAGGATTTTTCTCCATATAATGGACTTCATTGGGAACCAAACGGTTCAAGGTCCAAAAGAGACTTTCAGTGCAAACTGCAAACTGTTCAAAGGGCTTTAAACGATTCCAGACGATGAATAAGGGTCTTATCAAGCGAAATGATCGCTCATTTTTTTAAAAAACAAAACAAAGGTAAAGTTTTATAAGCTCTAATGGTCGCCTAGCTCTGTTCTCTGATGCGCATTCGTGACTCTCCTGTTTGAACTTGTTTATCAAAATGAACGAATCTTTTTTCGTGTCATTTGGTTCATTCATCAAACAAGTTGACTCTGGAAAAGATTTGTTCATTTTGATGAACGAGTTTGAACAGGAGAGTCACAAACGCGCTTCACTGAACAGAGCAAAGCGACCATTTGAGCTTGTAAAACTTTTTGGTAACACTTTACAATACGGGTGCACTAATATACATTAATTCATGCTTAACTAATGCACTGATAATCATGAGTTAATGTATAACTAATGAAGAACTAAACCATTAATTAATGATTACTGCATCAGCAACTAATAAAGAGTCTATATGATTAATAGATTAAGTATTACATGAATTGCTATTAATTCAATGTGTCATTGTGTATTAATTCCTTAATAACTTATTTTATTAACTAATAGTGTAAATTAATTGTTAATTACCACAATTAGTCAAAGCTATGCACTTCAACTTCCAGTTGTCTGCTTTAATTAATCATTAGCTAATGATTTGCAAAGGCATCATTATGTTATGACTTTACTTGTTGGGGCACATCATTATTAACCAGTCATTTAGTAATTGTAGTAATTTGCACATGAATTTGCACTAACAATGAAGTAATTAATCATGTATTAATGCATATTAGTGTACCTGTCATATTATCTGGAAGTTGAAATACAAGGCTTTGGCTCATTCTGGTAATTAACATATTAATTAACACTATTAGTTAAAAAAATGAGTTATTATGGAATTAATCCACAATTATATATTTAATTAATAACAATTCATGTATGAACTAATACATTAAACCTACAGACTCTTAATTAGTTCCTAATGTGGTAATCATTAATGAATAGCTTAAATAATCATTAGTTACACATTAATTCAGTATTATTTGTGCATTAGTTAAGCATGAATTAATGCTTATTAATGCACCCGTATTGTAAAGTGTTACCAACTTTTTTTTTTAAAAATGAGCGATCATTTTGCTTGATAAGACCCTTACTCATCATCTGAAATCGTTTAAAGCCCTTTGAACAGTTTGCAGTTTGCACTGAAACTGTCTTTTGGACCTTGAACCGTTTGGTTCCCATTGAAGTTCAATGTGGAGAAAAATCCAGGAATGTTTTCATCAAAAAACTTAATTTCTTTTCGACTGAAGAAAGAATGACATAGATATATTTGGCAATATTGTATGATGTACAGTCATGCCAATAAAGCAATTTTGAATTGAAAATTGAAATTGATATATTGGATAACATAGGGGAGAGTAAATTATCAGCAAAATGTTTTTTAAAAGTGAACTACTCCTTTAATAAGTGGCTAAATGGGGCAACATAGGTTGTCAGGGACAGTAAACGTAAACATTTATAGCCTTAATGTGTTTTTAATCGCTCTGGCAATCTTTCCTAACAATTGTTTCAGGGTAACTGGTTTGTTTTTAAATAAAGACTGCAAGAGTTATTGTAGTGTTAGTGATGGTGACGGGTGAAGTCATTCGATTCGGCCATGGTGTAGTTGGTTTATTTCGTTTTTTACTTTTGTCAATTGAATTTAAGCTTCAAAATGCTTAAAAATGGTGTTCTTTTGTAATGTTTATCACAAGGAACTGGCTGTACCTGATGCTGTTCTTGTGCACAGACTCAAGGATTGCTTCCTTGCTGTCTACAGAGGCTTTTTTATCCAAGTTCTGGAAGCGTTCCCTGGCTGTCATGCCCTTCTGAGCACTCTGTTTGGGCACGTCAAGTTTTCCTCCGAAAGACAGGGCTGCATTGTTCGAATCGTAGACAAACAACACAGGGTAGCAGTCGTGGCCCTGAAAAGATATGAAAATCAGGGGACAATCTCTAAACAGATTACCTTGTCATCGAGGTCTGACATCTGAAGATACTTACAGCCGCCACTAGGCTGTTCTCAGTAATGAAAGTCACACACAGAAGAGGCAAGGTTTCAGAAGACAGACTGGCGCAGCTGGCAAGATAAAAAGAAATAATTGGGTACATATGATTTGTTTTAAAGGCAAAAACATGGAGGGGCAGATTTGAAATGCAATCCTCACACAGCAGTCTTTCCTCCCTCGGCCACTGCCACAGTGCTGTCATGGCTGGCCCAGGCCACGCGATTCCCGCTCTCCGAGAAGCAGACGCCGTGCACCCAACCTGAAGTCCCAGTAGATTCGAACATGATCTCTCCAAATGGCATTTTAGAGCCCCATGCTGTTGGAGCAGGCTTCTCCTCTACTTCCTTTATGTAAGCAGAGAAGATCCTGGATGGGGATTTAACAGACGGGAAGTTCATATAACGGCCATATTCAGGAATTATAATGCAGATCAGAATCATCCTAACCTGCATTTAAAGTCACATGATCCAGCTGCCAAAAGGATGTTATTGGGGTGCCAGTCCAAACAAAGGATGGTGGAGCGGATGGGCTTCTTAATGTGCTTGCACACCCACCTAGAATAATGAGAAATTACTTTAAGCATACACTAAGTAATAACATATATTACGGGGGTCCCAAACACGCGGTATTAACTCTATTAATACAAAGTCTGTGGTCTCATAGTGTTTTACATTACGTACAGTTTAGCATTTTGATTTTAATTTACATAAAAACAAAATATCTCTGAAATTATTTTTTTTGTCTTGTATTTAATTAGACGTAAATAATATGAGGACGACCTCTGTGCTGATCAATTTTCCGCTCATTTCTTATTTTGTAAACTGGTATCTGTGCAAAGAATTGTGAGTGAATGGAGGATGTGAAGGATGCATCCTTCAAAATAAGCCGAATGAAGGACAATGGCTGCCATCCAAGGATACTTCAAATTGAGACGGCCTTTGGAGGAGCTTGATGATGTGGCAAACTAAATATGCAGCCTTACTTTTACGCAACCTTTGAATTGATTCATTCAGTAATTGCACAAGTGAGTTTTAGAATCATCCACTAAAAAGTTAGCCTGGCATGCCAGACCTACATCAAGATGTTTGGTCTGGGAACTCATCATTGACAGGGCTCAATCCAAAGGGGCGGGATAAATGGTTGTCTTTCAAATTCTCTCTGCACGCAATTGGATAGCGCTACGACTAATCAGAGCAAGGAAGAAGGTGACGACTGAGTCCCATGCGTTTTCCCACCAGCGGAGCAAGTTGATATATTAACTCTTTCCCCGCCAGCGTTTTAAAAAAAAGTTGCCAGCCACCGCCAGGGTTTTTGACGTTTTTCGCTAAATTTGAATGCCCCGCTGAATATTTTCTTCCATGAATATATGAAGATGATATATATAAAAATAAAGATCTGAGCCTCTGCTTTTAGGCAAAAAAAACGTTTTTATTTTATCTTCATCTGTTCTTTTTTTATTGCCTCTTGAACAGAGGTAGGTTTTGTCAAAAACACAACATTTTGGACAAAAAACTGAGAAAAAGGTATTTTTATCAAACAAGTGCATTTAAAAGCAGAATACATTCAGATGTTGTTTCCTTCATATATAAAACTTTCCAAAATAAATTAAAAACATAAAATAAATGTAAAATATATCAAATTTCCCAGGATGTAAGGGAAATTTAACTTTTGCAATAAAACTTCTGCCTCTGCCTCTCTGTGTTCTACCTGTGAATAATGAATAATTGGAATTACAATAAACAGG